ACATTTTCAGAGAAAACCCATCCATTTGTCCTTCCTGCCATTCATCCATGTATGTGCATGGTCCACCTTTCGGAGCTCTCCTGCTGTTCTTGTGTGCATTACAGCCTAATGCCTGAGCTCAACAAGGGCTTATGTTCTGGCGACTCTGGAGGGGTGACTGGGCTTAACTGGGCTGAGATCAAATGCCCTTGTATTGAGAGGAGGAACAGCCTGCATGGAGATTTTCCTCATGCGACTGGCCTGATCCGTGTTTATGAGAGTTGCTTAAAAGTGAGCAATACCGGCAACACCAGTAGATTACAGTACAAGCACGTTAAACTGCTTCGTATGTACAAAAAATGATTTTCTTGCATAGACTAGAAACAAGACAAAAACTCTAAGTATCTTAATTTGTAAGAAGAATAATCTTATTTTAGAGGAAAAACTATTGTATTTTTCTTAACTCATTGGCAAATTATTTGCCTGTTTGAAGGAAAAAATTACTTAATTTTTACATATTTTTTCTGAAAACAAGACAATTTTTTTGCTCGTCTAGATAACGCTTCTTGATTTAAGAATACTGAGATATTTGGACAAGAAAAAAAAGACACAAACTCTTAAGAAAAATAAAACTTTTTTTGCAATGTATTCATTTGGCATTTATATGTGCGTTTGTTTGAGATTGAATGTTTAATAAATTTTGAACCAAAACTGTGTCTAATGATTACACAATATCCATTTTGGCAACACAACAATACAATAACATATAAACCAAATGACATATGTTTTTTTTAATAATGGTCCTTGCTTTATCATTCTGATGCTCTGAATTAAATAAATATTGTATAAATAATACTGTGACAGCCTTCAGCAATTCTTGCAGCACAGCACAGCAAAAAAAAAAAAAAAAAAAAAAAAAAAAAAAAACACAGCAGGAAACAACAAAGCCAGTGTAGTTCAATTCACAAATAAATCATAATTGAGTCATAAATAAAAACAGTATATTCTGCTTCCTGAACAAATTACTCTTGAGTCATTTGCAATACATTAGCTAATATTAATAAAAGAAAAACTCAAGGTGCCCAGTGCTGTCAGATTCTCAACCGAATGACTCTTACTAGTGTATCAAAGAAGACCAGAATAGACTGAACTCTGTACAAATGACTCTTGCTGCGAGTGTCTATTTATTGAATGAATATAATGGCTATCAAGTGTAGTTCGACTCGCAAAACAAATAAAAACATTTTCTAAGTTACATTATAAAAAGGTCCATTCAAAAGGGAGATATTTAGTTTTTTTGTATTAATTTTCAAGAGCTACAACGAACATCCTTTTTGGACAACAAGCTTGTTCTACGGGATTTAATGATGTCACTATAGCAGCCTAAATCCTGCCTAGAAAAATGCAAATTGTTGGGTGAAATGGAGGTACAAAACAACAGTAAAGTGGCCACTGATCATAAATGTTTGTTTTGCTAGTGCACATATAAGCATTAAACGTCTGCAATAAAAAACAAATGTTATTTCATTGACAACAATCTCCATAAACGAGACAGAACTTGATAAGGCAAAGGGTGTGACAATAAAAAAAAAACACTAAGCTGTTTGCCAATCACAACACATTTAATTTCTCATCAAACTTGGAACTAATTAAGCTGTTTGTGTCAGGCTGGGAAGAAAGATAATAAAATAACATAAATTATGTTAAAAATAATGCAATTTTAATCACAAAGCATGAGAGAATGTTCTTGTGCACTTTCCAAACAGAATCAAGACTTTGTAAAATAGCATAATAGGACCCCTTTAAATGTGGCTTTGTAGTAACTATGGAACTTAAATTGTTATATTTGACTAATAAATCATGACGATATGTAGTTGAAGATGCACTTCATGTAGTATTTCTGTATAAAGCTGTATTTGTTTCCACAAAAACAGGCCAATTAAAGAATTACATTTATGCTTTACAAAGCAAATAAAAAATCTTATCTCGTCAGCACAGCAAATGCAAAGTCACACACTACAAATGCTTCAAGCAGAAGCAGGATTACTTTTCATAATGTTTTACGATCCTGCTGTGGTTCTGTTCTTGTTTTTGCTTTCAAGTTGTTTGCCTGCCAAAACGAGGCTCTGCAATACGTGAGAGGAAATCAGACATCAGAGGCGCTTATTTAATTGATTGTCTCTCTTCCAGTCTTAAGCAGTCTTAACAACAGCCAATACTTCTGACAGTTCCCACTGCAAATCAGGTGTTTCAACTTGGCAGGTGGGCAACCGACTTACAAAACTCTGTGGTTGCTGGCTGAGATTTAGATGTTCAAGCTATCAGAAGATTTCCCCCACTGCTTTAGGCTTCAATAATAAAGTATTCCTCCAGTGACATACACTAGTTATTAATAAGCACCTTAAATAACAGACCAAATAACAAACATGATCTTACTCTTTGCAAACAGAAAACATACAATATGAAACTAGAGCTGTGCTGAAAAATCATTCAAGAAAACAAGTTTCGAAATGCATCGCTATTCTGAGCAAGGAAATTAACGATTTTAATCATTAATTATTAATTAGATCTTGCTAAAATTTGCTTAAAACTTTAACTTTCTTAATGATTATTTTAGGTTTGAGTGGTAAGGAATTGTATGCAAGCTTATGTATTATCTGAAATTAAAAACTAAGCTCAGATTCTTTTCAAGAGAGAATAGCAATGGATTTTGAAAATCTCATAATCGATACAGAATCAATTTCTCGAATGATTTTCACCATAGCTTTAAGTCGAACTGCTTTATTTACCTACTTTATTAAATGGTTGTTTGGAATACATCAGTCGCAAGCGTTCCATGGTATGTTATCCAGAGATAACAACCGCTAAATAACACAGGCTCATCCAGGAACCTCTAATCGCTTTGACCGCCAGTAAATACATGTACTTACATCAGGGGTCTCAAATTCAAATTGGCGGTGGGCCATTTCAGTGACTGACAATTCATAGGAGGGCCGTTTTAACATTCAAGCACAAAAAAAAGTGGAATCCTGACATAACTGATGCATCTAAATATCTGATGCAGGACAAGAGACATGACGTTTAAATTTCAAGCATTACCTGTCACCAGTGATAATGCAAAAATCAGCATGTTTATGTTGTCACACACCAGCTGCTGAAATATATCTGTGGTTGTTGTGTGTATGGCTGAGCGTTAGACACACACTCAGTCATTCTTTCAAGGGGTAGTTTAAATTGCTACCGACTACTTGAATGACTTTACTGGCAATTGTTCTCAATCTCTTTATTTTTTGTAAAACTACAACAAAGAGGGGAGAAGTTTGTGCATATTCACATTTACTTGAACAAGTTCAATTCAACTAGCAGTGCAATTTCACAAATGTACATAGTTTTTATGCAAATCCTAAAAAGCATATGAGCAAAATCTATTAAATGAGACCGTTTGAATTGAATCATATTCAAATTGTATATATAGCAAATTGATCATATTTGTTACACCACCAGTATAACGTGTAAGCCATATACAGTAGAAGTGTTTGTACAACAAAATACAGGTGGTATAAAACTGATAATATTCAAATGACACTTGAATATTCACAAGAAGAGAGCTTTAGTAAAAATAGAGCACTTACGGACATATATTTTTATGTTTAAATAAACCACAGAATTATCACTTCCTAATCTGCAATTGCCTCTTTGGATATACCACTAACTGTACTCAAAAAAAAAAAAAAAAAAATTACTAATACTTTTCTTCTTAGACTTTACAGACCTGAAACTTGCCTATAGCACTTATTCATTGTTGCTCTTATAGTTGTGTAAATTGCTTCCTTGTCCTCATTTGTAAGTCGCTTTGGATAAAAGCGTCTGCTAAATGACAATTTAAATATAAATGTAAAAGCATGTGTGTTACTCTCGACCGTACTCTGAGAGAAAACGAAAGTAAAACTAATTTCAATGCAGTACTTTAAATGTCTACATGGTGGTGGGTTATAACCACAAGTGGCTAGACGTGACTTCACAACAAGGATAGAGATTCAAAAATATATGTTTTGGCAGGCTGAATCTTTTTATATTTTTGGGGTCAGTTGCGGGCCGAAGGGAGGAGGATGGCGGGCTGTAAATGGCCAGTGTGTGGGCAGTTTGAGACCCCTGACTTACATCCACATTCATATGTATCTGCATGTCTGTTACCACAGTATTGGACAGTTTGACATAATCTTGTGAATGAATAATATCTAGGTCAGTCTATGCTTTAATGTGTTTAATTAGGGTTGGAAATTTAGCTTTTAGCAGTAGTTCTACCAGGAAGATCTAATGCCACATCAGTCATTACAATTAGTTCCAACCAATAGCCAAGAGACACAAGGAATATATAAGCTGTCCATCCATTTGATTCATTTGGTTGCAGGTCCCGACACAAATGTTCACCCACCATCCTCCCCACCATCACCAGGTTGGCCCTGTGCAGGGAGAAGTCTCCTGCCTTCATCCTCGGCAGTCATGGTTGGATCTAAAAGCTTCCAAATCAAGCTACAGACAGGGCCTCCACCAAAGAAAGCCTATGCTTTGTTAAATGATACTTTTGTCAAATAATACTCATCAATACATGTAATTCAATATCATAATTATCTCCCTGGTCTTTCTGGCACAACTAATTTGTGAAGAGCTGCGATCCTCCTGTGCTTTATTCCGTCAGTTACAGTCAGCTTTGTTCTTTTGAATGATTGGTGACATCTTGTGACTGAATAATGCGCAGGTTAGTGTTCCATGATGGCTGTTTCCGCAGAAAAAATCTGATAAGCCTCTTGGGCTTTATTCTGTGATAACAACCTCTTAGATGTACTTTATGCCCAACTTAACCACAACATTACCCTATACATATACAGAAATATAGTGCATACATTACTTACTATTTAAATAGGATTTCTATTTTACATGCAATCATACTGTATAAGCTTTAGAGATCACTAAACAGTTGATGGTTTTAACTAACATGTTTTAATGCAAAGAATACTGACCTTCCTCTCCATGGCATTACCAGCTCTGGATTGATCTTTCGGATAAAATATTCACCTCCAGGTCTGAGGCTATTTCCCAAACAACCCATTGGGACGTTTTCTTTTGGCTCTTCCTCCACTGGTTCCTCAGGGGTGGGCCTCAGCACACCCAAGTAGCGAGGCAGTAAGTTGATGAAAACCTGCAGAGGGTTAGACCATAAGAAGCATGTTCAAATTTATGGGAAAGTTGCAGTTTACAGTAAATTTAAATATTTGGTTGTCGCACCTTGCGCACCCATCCGGGCATGTGGTGTGTGCTGGGTGTCCTGTGGTGGAGGTTTAGGACTACCACGCTAAGGATGACGGAGAAAGTGACCAGGATCATAGTAAACATGACATAGTTAACAATGATAGGAATGGCAAGTGATGTTTCTGGAACTTTGTCAGCCAGCAGCAGCATGAAAACAGTGAGTGCAATGAGGACTGAGATGGACAGAGTCATCTTCTCACCTGAGTGAAAGGACAGAAAACATATGAGAACATACGTTTTGTGGCAATAAACCTTCATACACTTGCTAATAATCATACAGTCATCACAGAGGAATAAGTATTGACATTACATAGACAACTACTTGTCTAATAATCATTTGCTCTATATTAAACTACACAGTTGAAGACCATTTTTTGTCCTCCTGTGGAACTCTTTTAAATATTTCACAAGTCCTGTTAAACAGAGAGAAATTAATTTTGTTTAATAATGTATATTACACTGATCTTGTAATTAAAGATGTCCACCTGCACCAGGTGGCAGGTAGAAGACAAAAATGGCCAGCACACTGGTAAGGATGCAGGGCACGATGATGTTGATGACGTAGAAGAGAGGCTTTCTCTCAATGATCAGGTAGAAGGTGATGTCCTCATACAAGTCATCCTGGACGTTCTTTCTGCTGGGCTTGTGACAAATCTGCCACTCGCCGTTCTCTTAGGGAAGAGAGAGGACTAATGAGAGAAAGAGAGACAGAAGGAAAGAGACGGTGTGCCATGTGCCAAGTTGCTAGAATACTTGGCAACAGTAGACAGGCTACAAAAAGATTGCTTGAGGAATTATTTTAATTTCAATATGTAAGACTTCTTCATAAAGATATCCAAAGATATCTCATTAAGATATCTCATGTAATGTTTTTTTTTGCTGATTTATTTACTTGCATTATCTTAAATGTTTAGAAAAATTTTCAAATCAAGAGATATAAGCTATTTTACCTAGTTGCTATGCTATTGCCATACTAATTATATCATACACCCTCAATGCCTCTATTTTGTCTTTATTAGAACAAAACAACAGAATAATAACCACAGATTACAGCCAACAAATTTCTCAACATCACAGCACTTAATAAAGATCAAAAAGAAGACAAATAAAAATACACAAAGTAATAACAATAATAAAAGAATACATACATTAACCAAGGTTTATGGTGATCTAAAGATTTGCAAAAAAAGTACCTGAAATGCTGGCACCCACATACTCAAGGAAAGAATGTAATAATAAAAATTATAATTTTTCCCATTGACCAGTGGGTAATATATTCCAATGACATTTGATTACTTTATGCCATTCTGATACTGTTGGTGGTTTATTCGATATACATTTAAGAAATATACTCTTACGGGCAAAATAGGTAAGAAAGTTAAACAACTTCCTGTTTGTTGTACTCTTCAAATGATTATCAGCAACACCTGACAAAAAGTTAAGAGAGTCGAAGTCACATCTACACGTCTACTACAAATCTGTACCCAAAAGCCTTTAACATATATATAATTCCAATAGTATTCATAAATGCATATATACATAAATAAATGCATAAAATCACCTTCTTCAACTTTGCACTTTAAACAGAATGGAGAATAATATGAATTAAGCTTATATCTATGTGATGGTGTAATTCGGAGATGATGCAAAAGTTTGAACTGTTGTTCTTTTAGTTCTATTACAGATTGATATATTGCCAGCATATTGCCACGTGTGTGTCCAAGTGTCTGCACTGATTGAGCATCCCAGATCTTTCTGCCAAACATCTAGGGTTGCCACATTATTAACTTTTGCTCTTAGCAACACCAGTTTGGTTTTATAGAAAACATGGAAACACTGTTATTAGAGTGCACATATCAGCATTATAATAGAAACCTAAAATGTATTTACTGTAATAGAGTAAAACAGTGCTGTTTTTCCCTACATGATCATGACTGAAAATCCCCCAAAAGCGATTGTGACATAATACAAGTTTTGTTTCTTTCATGTCGGATTGCACTTGTCTCTCATAAACAATTGCTTTAGCACTTTTGTTTCATTTTCAGCTTTACTCTGCTTCATATTACCATGATAATGAGTATTTTTAGCTTAACCATGTCTTGTAGTATGTATCAAAGACCACAACTCCCATGATTCCACGCACAGTCACAGTGTCACCAAAATACACCATTGTTTGTTGTAAATGTGCCCTCTAGTGGCTAAAATTGCAAATTGTGCCTTTGATACACATAAAAAGAACCATCTTTCTTGTTTCATACTAGTAACTGGAGCTGGAAAATATGTTGAAAATTTCAGGAAGAAGGACACTTACCAGTGAAAGCATTCTCATCAATCACTATTTCATGGAGCTCATTTCCGTCTTCATCTAGACCATACTGTAGGTCCACTTCTGAGGAATCATATGTGTAGGAACGAAACACCATTGAGCAATTCTGCCAGTCAAATGGAAAGTACGCCACCTATAGGGCCAGAGACACAGCTTTGAACTACAGTGAAAGTTTCACCTCAAACTAAAGTGAATAATTTCATCTGTTTTGTTCGTTGGTTGAACAAAAAACTAAATATACTGAGGAATGTTGGGAAAATACAGCCATTGACATATATAGTAGAAACAAAATGTAAAATGGAAGTCAATAACTACCTTATTCCAACATTCCTCGGTATATCTTCATTTGTGTTGAACAGAAGAAATTCTTTGCAACAAATTAATAATAGATGTAACATTTTTGGGTGAACTATCCCCTGAAATTAATTAGGGAGTACAACACAATTATAACACTGTTAAATGGGCTTTATGTATTGTTATTAGCAACACCAGTGGCTGTGAGGTGAACTGCAGCCAAAAACTTACCGCTCATGCACATGTAACATACAAGAGAATGGGAAAGTTAAAAAGGAGAAGGAAATACAATAACAGAGAGATATTTAGATTAATTATGCAAATATGTGCTGCACTAATTTGGTAGACCAGAAACAGCAATAAACAAAGCATGTGATCATACTGATTTAGATGATTTTGCATAAGCTCTGCAATTTCGCAGAATAGAGATACATATGGATAGATCTGGCTATAGTTTGAATGAACCTTTTTTGTATGCATGACACATTGACATAATAAAAAAGAGGTTCTCATGAGTATTACAAGCTATTCACACATTGGCAATACATTAATGATTAATCCATAAAAAGTGCATTTAGCCAAGATTGATTCATGTTAAAATAAGATTCAAGGTTCAATGAAGGTTAAATTTTTAATTAGTTAAATTCAAGTTCTGCATAAAATAAGCAAAAATCATTCATTTAGTGCAATTACAGAAAGTCTATTTGAAGCCGGAAAATATTATACATGTACCTCTATGGAGCAGGAGCTGCGGTAGATGGCTGGTGGCAACCAGGAGACAGTTCCATCACTCCTCACGAGCACGTTCACATACAGCGCAACGTCAAACTGACCGTCATTACTATTAAACAGAAAGAGAACATCTCTATCACGTCCTAACATCATTATGTCCTTTGCAGCTTTTGTTTCATAACAGCCAATTCATGGTATAAAAAGATCAGATTTTCAATTTAGCCCATTATTTTGTCTTTAGAAGAATATAAAAACGATTATTAGGTGGAACTGTTGTGCTTTATTTAAAAAAAATCTATTTGTTTTTCTGTTGAACACAAAACAAGATATTCTGAAGAATGTTGAGGGGAAAACCAGCCAGATATCCATAGTAGGAAAAAAAAATTAGGTAAGCCAAAGGTTAGTTTGACTTATATTTATTGGTATATCTTCCTTTGTGTTCAACAAAAGAAAGAAATGTTTAAAAAAAGAAAGAAAAAAGAAAGAAAGCATTTAGAACAAGTGGAGGGTGGATAAATGAAATGTAATTTATGGACTATCCCTTTGAGTATGAAAGTGTAAAAATTACTTGATTAGAAATGCTGCTAATCATGCACAACCTAAACAAAATCTTTTAAATGCTCATCAGTGTGCCATATTATAACAGGACGTTCTCACTTGTTGATAAGGTAGATGTCTGGACGCCACACTTTTACAGGAGGAATGCGCACAACATCAATTTTGTCATAATCTTCAGGATTCCAAGACAATCTGTAGTCAGTCCATTCCTTCAAAAAACATATTGAGATAGAGGGAGATTTTCGTTGATTTTTACAGTTTTGTACTGTATATTGAATTTAATTCTGAAATGTATTATTAACTTATTAAATTATAAGACTTTTTACACACACAAACCATTAGTTCTCCACAACATTGGTCATTTCCATTGGTTTTTTGAAATGTATTTGTTTGTTTACTTGCTTTCTTGCTGATTCATTCGTTCATTGCAAATACCTGACTGAGTGGATGGGTTTTAGGTTTGTCCAGCAAGCCTGACAAAATAACCAACACTGAAAAGTGTGGGTATTATGGCTTCCACAAAAAATTTTTAGTGTGTATACAGCCTAAACATTTTTTGTGGAAGCCATAATACAACCAAACCATGCAAAAAAAACAAAAAACAAAGAAACAGCTTTTTTGGATGAAGTTTAATTTTAAATAGATACATAAAGGACAAATTCAAATAAATTTTACTTGCCAAATGCAAGTACTAATTTTGGGTTACCACTCTAAGCCAAGCATCAAATTCTCAGATTTTCACTGCCTAACCCTAACCCTAACCCTGCATTTTTATAATCTATAAACAAATGGAACAAAATGCTCTTCTGTTGTGCTTTTAGTGGTCAGTGCTCAGCATTGTCATCTAACAGCAAGAAGGTTACTGGTTCGAGTCCTGGCTGGTCCAGTTTTGGGTTTTCTCTAGGTGTTTCGGTTTCCCCCACAGTCCAAAGACATGCGCTATAAGTGAATTAGGTAAACTAAACTAGGTTTTTAGTTTACTTTTTAGTAGTGTATGAGTGTGTTTGAATGAGTGTGTGTGGGTGTTTCCCAGAACTGGGTTGTCACTGGAAGAGCATCCGCTGTGTAAAACATATGTTAGAATAGTTGGCCGCTCATTCTGCTGTGGCAAACTCTAAAATAGAGACTAAGTTGACGGAAAATGAATGAATAAAATAATAAAATTAATAGAAAACTAAAAGAAAATTAATAGATATTTCATGACCAGTATTTATTTTAAATAAACTCATACTAAATCCAAACATTTGAATGATGCAAAACATATTACTCATTTGTCCAAATGCAGACATTCTTATTCCTTAAATTTTGATCTGCTAGCCAAGAAATGATCCTCAAACCTTATCCAATTAGCCAAATAGACTTTTTTTTCCCAATAAAACATATACACAATAGTTTTGCTAAGCACCGTGAGCTCAAGTAATTGAAGAAAGCACATAGCTTTAAACAAAAACTCCAGATAAAAAGCAGAAATAACTCACAGTAATAAAAAGAGACGAGTCAATTTAAGCAGAAAATAAACAGCGCTTAGGAGGATCTGCCTCTCACCATATTCATGAACACGTTTGTTGTCATCTCTCCGTTCTTCTGGTTCTGTAAGAGAGAAGAGAGGATAGATTAGCGCAGCGTTAACGCATGTCATGCCATCACACTCAGTCCTTCAGTATGGAAGCTAATGTTCCATGCATGGCTTGATCTCTCAGAGGACTGAGTGCTAATGTTTCTCTAATGTTTGGGAAATGTTGCTGAAGCGTTGACTGCTTGGTCCAGTGGGTACGACAGAGGCAGCTGGACCGCTGATCTCCAACAGCCTGCTGTGAAAGTCACTGAACACAAACTGTGTGAGTGATGAAATGCTTTGGGAAAAAAACAACAACAACCAACCAGTGATGGATTAGTAAGTAATTCCACATAGGAAAGTGTGTGTGAATGTGTTTATGCGTGAGTGTTATGTGTATCATACCAAGCTGATGAGCTGGACTAAAGTCATTCCCACTCGGACCATCACTCGCTCATTCCAGGTACGTGCTGGACGCACTTTCAGGTTATAATCCTGAAACAAATCCTCCAGTAGCCTCCGTTCGGCCTCAGATGCCTCTGAACACACGCACACGCACACACACAAGCACACTTTATTCATCCTCAAGCCATCATGACTCTCTTCTGTCAGATAAACAGAGTAGTTTTTCATCTACTGGGTCTCCTCTGTGAGCCAATGCACCTACCAGATCCCTTTGGTCCTCCAATCATGATCTGCTGTGCATCCCAAAATCAAGACTTAACTATAGGGCAGATCGTACTTTCTACATTGCGGCCTCAGACTTTGGAATGCTTTACCACGTCATTAAGACAAGCTCCTTCCATCATCAGCTTTACCATCTAGACTTACGAATTTATTGTTCTCAAAGGCATTTGTCTTCTAGGAGGTATTGTTGCTATAGACTTTTTGTGGTTGTCTTTCTTTCTTTTTTTGTTGATTTGTTGGAAAAGAACTGCCCAACGAAAGTTGTAAATATCATGGTATTTAAATAAAATTGTCATTGTTATTGTATAATGGATTTTATTCTGAAGCTTATAAGCACATAAATCTTATGAATGTGTTTTTGTAACAGAAATAATACCAATTTGTAAATTACAAACTCAAATTACTGACTTGTGCAGCCTTTGAATGCATGTTATGTGCAACTGATTTTTTTCGATGTTTGACAGTGGAAGCTCCAGGAATAAACATGTCTCCTGGAAACCACTAACCCACTAAATAGCTTACCACATAAGATAAACAAACAAACAAACAAACAAAAAAAACTAGTTGGCTTTGTGTTTCTGTATAACATTAAATAGTTACAATGCGGCAAACATTTGTCTAACTGTCATACATCATAGGTTGTCAGTCCTCAGTCATACATAAACTGCATTCGGCTGAAAAATAAGAAGCAATTTTGTCATAAAAACACATCAATCCACTTCATAAGACATGTGTTAACCCTCTGAGGCATATGGGTTAGTTTGACATTGGATTTTTGCGCTTATGGAAGTTTTAAAATAAAAGTCACTATCCAACACCATTACATAGCATGCACAACAAATTCTGGTTTTTGGAAAAAACTCCCTGGGAGGTAAAAATCACATCAATCTGAGTGTACATGCATGACCATTAAATTGACTCCACTGTAGAGTTGAAATAATTCTGCTTTTGGAGTTGAATTTTAACACTTTTTTTGTTGTTGTTCAATTTGAAAATTAATCGTAATCCTACAGAGGGTACTTTTACATTTTAGGTATAATATGAACTCCATACCAGTTTTAAAAGTTAACACTTCTTAGAGTAAAATGTACTTCGAACAATATATACATTCATGGGAAAATGACCACACTGAATGCCATACTTTTCACTTGAAAGAGGATAAAATTTCAAACTACTTCGACTCTGTTTGTCTGACAGAAAAGGTTTGTTGGTGAGTGAATTATGTGCTAATTTTCATTTGTGGGTAAATTATTTCTTTAGGGCAAGAGATTGCAGATGAATAAGGTAAAACATTTCCTAATTGTTATCACCCAACCTCCACAGTTAATTCATTACATTAAGAATTGCAAACGCTTTTGTAATACAAGTCATTACAAAATGATGTCTAAATAAACCTTTAGAACTGAGCTACTGTGCATCCATTTCTGGCTCAAAAATCAATCAAATGTCTTGTTTTAATGTTGACATAATAAACAAATATATTTAATGATTTTTTTTTAAACATACCCAAATATAAAAGCCTTTAGAATACAGTATGGTGTATGCAAGTGCAGCTGAAATGGAGATTCATGGAGTGCAGGAGAAAAAAAACGTCCTGAATTTTGATAATTTTAGATAACCATTTGATTTATATTATTTTTAAAACAGCCTTTAAAAGTTGAATTGTAATTTACAGACAGACATTTATAAAGTGTGCAAAATTTTTTCTTTATATTATGCTGAAAAAAAAAATTAAAACAAAAAAGCCCAAAATCAAATACCTTACGGACGCAATGTCTCGTCTTTATTAACATAATTTCAGCCCTGTTTTTCTTTTGACTTGCAGTCCTAAAAAGAGTTTTCTAAGAATGGCTGACCCAGCTCAACATTTGGAGGTGTCACCAGCCTCAGTGCTGCTTTCTTTGTCTCCTTATTACAAGGTCAAATATGCTGCAGCATTTTATACATTGTATAGATTGTGTGTCAGAGGGATGCAGTCCTTCACAGTACATAAAAGCACATAACTGACACACAACAGTGACATACACACACCTGTTACAATCTGCATAGACATTAATTCACATAAACCTGACCTTATACTGCAATATAAAAACTAACAGCAGCAATTTTAATATTATAAAATGTGCCATTTTGATATACACATCAAATTAATGTGATTTATGTAATCCGTTCTCATTATAACTAATATTATATATTTCTTGCTGACAAATGGATTAACATTCTTAAAAAGAGAGTGGCAAAATAAAACTATTTAATTCTAATATATCATTGTTTAATTATATTTCATTTATTGAATTATTATTTTGGGGCTGCACTGTGGTCAGTAACAAAGTGTTTCTTTTGGTTATAAACTACTGTTATACTTTTTGTAGCACAAAACAATTTAAGATCATAATTAGGACAAATTCTAATGATTAAAAATCTCAAAAGCTATACTGCATTTTTGTTTTGATGCTTAAAAATTAAATGCAGAAAATATATTTGAATAATGCAAACACAAGATTAAGATTAAGATTAATAAAATTACTTACTCCTAGAGCCGTTTATATCGTAGTTGATATTTAGCCACACCATGTTGGTGTTACATAACATCTAGTTTTTATGAAGTGGGTCGTTAGCCCAATGATCAACCCCCAACCTGGAGGACCAGGACATACACACATACACTAAGGACATATTAGCTAACTCAATTCACCTATAGTGAATTTCTTTGGAAGGTGGAGGAAACCGGAGCACCCAGATGAAACCCATGCAAACACGGAGAGAACACGCAAACTCCACACAGAAATGCCAACTGACCCAGCCAGGCTCGAACCAGTGACCTTTTTGCTGTGAGGCGACTGTGCTAACCAATGTGACAGTGTCACCCATATTAATAATATTACTCTATATAAATGCTGGGTTGCTATAATCCAATGTTGGGTTAAAAATGTAATTTAAGTTTAATTGAATTACATTCAAAAGTTTGCGCTCATTAATTACTTTTAAACAAATTGATACTTTTACTCAATTGTAGTTGCAGCAGCATTTTTTTCAGTGACGATTTTGTATTTGAAATAAATTATTTTATTTTAAATAATAAATGTGTAATCTTATTTTCTTCAAAACATTTCTTAAAATGCCTCACAATTTCCACAAATACATTAAGCAGCAAACTTTCAACATTTGATATTACTGTACACTGTTCTGTATACTTTACAGTATATTGTATTTCAAAATTACCCCTTGTCTATAGTTTAAATTGACTACCCTTTCATTATGTTTTGCCCTATTGACCACCAACAAAGAATAAAAAATGATATGCTCTCATAGCTTTGCAATAAAAAAAGTGTTTTATAATAGAAGTCAAAAGGGCAAAAACATCCATGAACATAACAAAATGCTAGTAAGTTTGAATATATTGTTTGTTTTTTTTTTTTCAAAGCATTTTCCCAAAATGTCAAAATAAGATTTGTCACTAAAACTCATTCCCTTTTCTGAAACACAGAGAAAGTTGTGGCCAAATTAAGTATCAAAAATCACACCAGAGTGAATGAAGTCATCCCCAACTGCACACAAGGGTTACAATGGACAAAGATCAAACTGACCTCATGATTGAACACCAGTAGACATGCAAAACACTACAAAATGAACAGATCTCCATTACCTGTGAGAGCCAGAAGCCAGCAGCACCACAAGACCCAAAGCATAGTATTCATTTTAAGCACAATCTGTATATCCTAAGTTTGGTCCCCTCACCGACTCGAGCACCAGCTGTCAGCACTGGCACCATCAAAAAAACACAACTTAACATACACTAACTGACTGGCATATCCCACAGTATCTGATCTCTCTCATACAGTACAGCAGACTGGCCAATGTGATTCCGTTAATGTTTCGCACTGCGCTGAACCCTTACTACCAAACCCTGACACGGTCACTTCATCACTTTCCTCCTCCCTAACCTGACTGCTAAAAACGTAGGCCCATGATTGGTCGTGAAGCCAGGGAATTATGGGAGGGAGAAAGGAACGTGTTTGGACTGTATGGCATCTCTGGCAGGCACCTGTTGATGTTGTGTGTGTGGGCCAGTGGGGTATTTTTGTGGGAGAACAAAGGGAAGAGGTGGTCCTTTCCGGAGGGTGAGAGGACAGGAGTGAAAACACACACACACAAACACACACACAAACACTGCTTGCATACTTTTGTGGGGACTTCCCTTTCACACTTGCTCTCAATATAGCCCAATTATAACTACTATGCACTAACTTTAAAATGGTGATTAATTTCTAGATTTTAATTATAGTTCTGGATTGCAGTATTTGCAACTAAATTGGGATTTTTATCCAACATCACTGCCAGAAATGTATTCCCCAAACACTCACACACGCACACACACAAAGTGGTCAACATAAAGGCATGGGGTCTTTAACCTCTCAACATACCCGTCTCTCTGCCTCCATTCAATTTGTTTCAAAAGGTTTCAGGGCTCACCACAGTACAGAAACCGCCTTAGTGAAAATAACCAACGATTTACTCTTAGCTGCTGACCGAGGGTGCGTCTCGCTATTAGTTTTACTCGATCTTAGTGCGGCATTTGATACCATTGACCACAATATCCTCATAAATCGCTTAAAGTCTACAGGTGTCCAGGGACAGGCTCTACAATGGTTTAAGTCATACTTAACTGACCGCTACCAGTTTGTAAATCTTAATGGACAGCCTTCACAAATCTGCCCAGTAAAGTATGGGGTGCCTCAAGGATCAGTTTTAGGCCCTTTACTGTTTACAATTTACATGCTACCTATGGGAGACATTATTAGAAGACATGGGATCAGCTTTCACTGCTATGCAGATGATACTCAATTATATATTTCCACTAAACCTGACGAGACGTCTGAACTTTCTAAACTAACTGAGTGTATCAAAGACATCAAAGACTGGATGACCAACAATTTTCTTCTCTTAAACTCAGACAAAACAGAATTATTACTTATTGGGCCTAAATCTTGCACACAGCAGATCTCGCAACTCAATTTACAATTAGAGGGATACAAAGTTAGCTTTAGCTCTACTATAAAAGATCTGGGTGTCATATTAGACAGCAATCTAACTTTTAAAAACCATATATCCCATGTCACAAAAACTGCCTTCTTTCATCTGAGAAATATCGCTAAATTACGAAATATGCTATCCATCTCAGATGCAGAAAAGCTAGTCCATGCTTTTATGACTTCGAGACTGGATTACTGTAATGCTCTATTTGCTGGCTGCCCAGCATCCTCTATTAACAAACTTCAATTAGTGCAAAATGCAGCAGCCAGAGTTCTGACCAGGTCTAGAAAATATGATCATATAACCCCAATTTTATCCTCCTTACACTGGCTGCCTGTTAAATTTCGTATTGAATTTAAAATATTACTTCTCACCTATAAAGCTCTAAATAATCTAGCTCCTGTTTATCTAACCAACCTTCTGTCTCGCTACGAACCAACTCGCTCCTTAAGATCTCAAAATTCAGGGCTTCTGGTAGTACCTAGAATAGCAAAATCAAGTAAAGGAGGTCGAGCCTTCTCTTTCATGGCTCCTACACTCTGGAATAGCCTTCCTGGTAATGTCCGAGGCTCAGACACACTCTCCCAGTTCAAAACTAGATTAAAGACCTATCTGTTTAGTAAAGCATACACTCAGTGCATCACCTAGCAGGTTCCACACTGGCTTCTACATCTTGCTTATATACACTATGAACAGCAGCTACGCTAATTATTCTCTTTATTCTCTATTTTCACCTGGGGATACTCATCCCGAGGTCCTCAGATTAGGCGGAGTCACTGATTGGATCCAAGACCAGCGACGTGATGATCCCAAGGATTCCATATCCGGGACCAGGCCATATCCTGAGCTGCTGCTGCGCTGATGGTCGTGGGGAGTGGAGAACATGAGTCTGATTCCAGCGACGCTCCAGGGACAGACGAGTCTTCATTGAGGCCATCTTCCAGCATAAACCACGGCGAATGAAGTTCTGCACAAGACTTTTGGCCAGCGGAGAAATTAAAATGGTCGTGCCCAACTGAGTCTGGTTCTCTCAAGGTTTTTTTTCTTCACTCCCATCAGGTGAAGTTTTTTTTCCCTCTCCGCTGTCGCCACTGCCTCACATGGTTCAGGATTGGTAGAGCTACGCATCGATGAATTTGCTCTTCAGTGTTTGAACTCTCAGTAATGATTAATCACACTGAACAGAGCTAAACTGAACTGAACTGAACTTAAACACTAAAACCTGAACCACACTGTTCCAATTACTATGACCATTTATGTGAAGCTGCTTTGACACAATCTACATTGTAAAAGCGCTATACAAATAAAGCTGAATTGAATTGAATTGAATTGAATTGTTCTGTTTGTCTTGTGGTAAATGTGCTTACTGTGGCTCCAAGGCAACAGCAGATATACATTACCTGACTAAAGTCTTGTCATGGAGTTGTAAGAGCAACAAAAAATTACTTGACCTAGTTGATCATAAGTAAAAGTGGCAGAAGGTAGATTTTTTCTGATAAATCATCTGTTGAACTGCATCTCAATCATCACGAATACTGCAGAAGACCTACTGGAACCCGCATGGACCCAAGAATCTCACAGAAATTAGTCAAGTTTGGTGAAGGAAAAATCATTGTTTGGGGTTACATTCCGTATAAGAGGGCGTACAAGAGATCTGCAGAGTGGATGGCAACATCAACAGCCTGAGGTATCAAGACATTTGTGGTGCCCATTACTTTACAAACCACAGGAGAGGGCAAATTCTTCAGCAGGATAGTGCTCCTTCTCATACTTCAGCCTCCACATCACAGTTCAAAAAAGCAAAGAAGGCTAGGGTGCTCCAGGATTGGCCAGCCCAAACACCAGACATGAACATTATTGAGCATGTCTAGGATAAGATAAAGGAGGAGGCTATGAAGATGAATCCAAAAAATCTTGATGAACTCTGGGAGTCCAGATCCATGATCATATTATATTTTGGTGAAATACGCGTAATCTCGAGTCATTTGCCTTTTATATAAACCACTTCTGATACCAAATGATCAACTATTAGTCAACTTATTATTTGTTGTTCCTAAAACTTGGATCAGCGACAAGACTTTTGTCAGGTATTGTATACCTTTTAAAATGAAAACTAGTGTAAATATTGCCTTCATGTGTTTAAAACATTTTGCTTTGCATTGAAGGAATTTTTTCATCAATTCTTTTCACTATTAAATACAATTTTCTTCTTAAAAGTACTGCTTATTAATAGTTAGTTAGACAGTACTAGAGGTTAAGGGTAGTTCCCCATCAGGAGGGGAACTTCAATGCCATGTGGAAACTTCCTATGGGGATCTCGTTAGAATCCAATCATTTGAAAGTGTATAAAAACGGGCCAATGAAATGCCAATGATTTGGCAGCATCAGCATGCACAGTTGGCATCAATGGCGATTACACTTAACATAAAAACACTGCACATGCCCAGCTGAGGCATCCTTTTCACTTGAGAGCCTTTCACGAAGCCTCAGAGTCGTTGAGGGTTTCTCCAACTGTGTTGATGTTTGGGAGAAAGATGAAGGAGGCATTGAAGATGAATTCAAAGAATCTTGATGAACTCTGGGAGTCCTGCAACATTATTTCTGTTAAGTTACAAGACATCACACCATAAATAGAAATAACGAACTTAAAAAGATATTTTGTTGGTAATAATACGTTTTTTTGCACAGTACTGTATATACAATACATATAAGATAAACTGTATTTACTCTTAAATATATAGCAGTTAACGCAGGCGGGAACAAACTGCAAATTCTAACTCGTTGTTAATTCATGTTGGCTAACGCACTTCCGGATGTGACCTTTTTGTAAACAGCTATAAAGTGAATTGTGTAGTAAACTTACTTTTCAGTGCTTAAAAGCTTCACATCGTAAGTTATATTTGTAGTAACGATTATAATTTTTGAAAAAACAAACAAACAATCATCACAGCAACTGCTGTTTATTAATTTAGACTCCAGTCAACAGGTTTTAGACGTCTGTAAGCTAAGATGCTGACCGAAAGCAGGAATGGGCTGTAAATAAGAGTCAGACAAGCGCAACACAATGCCCTCTGGTCAATATCCCACTCAAACCTCCAAAGCATTGGCTTGCAGAGTGACATCTGGCTAGCAGTTGTTTTCTCTCATCTTGTTCGTTGTGTAATTTATGCATGATTAGCTTTAATGTGGGTCGATCGACATCAAAGTTTTTAGAGGTAAATTTGTCCAACTGCTCAGCAGAGAAGAACCCATTATGCTTTTTACACAAATCACAAAGTCTAAGAGATGCCATCTCACAGATCTAATATACAAACATATTAGCCCTCGTGTAAAATTATAATTCTTTCAAAAATATTTCTTCATATTTTTCAACATATTTTAAACATAATATTTTTATAACTAATTTATAATAAAACAATTATCTTTGTCATAATGGCAGCATATACAGTAGTATTTCTCTAGGTATTTTGCTAGATACTAGTATTGAGCTCAAATGCGTAACTAGGTTAATTTGGTTAACTAGGCGAGTTTGGTAAATAGGCAAGTCATTAGACAACAGTGGTTAGAACCGTAGACAACTGAAACAAATAAGACTCCTTAAACAAACAGTATCCATTAAATTGCTGGACATGTATAGTTACATGATAGTTTTGCACATTATTCACTCTCTGCTAAATCTGGTTAAAAACAGTTCTTAACATTTAGACTTTTATGTATATAAAAAACACCTTTTTTATTACTATTAAATGCATAATTTATTCCTGTTTACATTATTTTAGTGCTGTTAAAATTAGTGCATTAACGCATGGGATTAATTTTAAATATTTATAACGCATAAAAAAAAAAAGAACACAATTAACGCAGTTGCGTTTTTTTTTTTAAATTTCCTGTTGTGGTCGACGTGTGTTCAACATGCAAAGAAATATGGATAAGATCAAGGAAGCACTTTTTGAAGGCAAATTTCAGTATAAAAAATTAATGTTGCATTATCAAGCTATCCAGCGTTTCCTCCAGAGTTTCATGCAATTTCAGGTGTTTCATTTTTAACTTTCGACTTCTGTTTTAATGGAATTTGATACCGCAAGGCGACTGGAAACAAAAACCTCAGCATTTCGTGACTCGTAAGTAAAAGTAAGAATTTCAATGTACAGGGAACCTGTTCCTTACTGTGCATATAAACACTTTAAATCCTTTCTTAAGATGAAATACTATTATAGGAAATACTGTGAAAATGTCCTTGTTCTATTAAACATCACTTTTGGGAGAGAGAAAAAAAAATTAAAGAAACAGTGTTTAAGAAGGAGATTTTCATAAACACCTTATTTAATGTTTATTCATGTCAAAGTACATAAAATAAAAAATAAGAAATATGAGGAACAACCATAAAGCATTTAAGAGCACACATCACACCAGGTAAACAACTCATATATTATGCATAAATATATTTTGCACTTTTTTTCAAAAACTTGTAGTCAGTAAATAAAAGTCTTGGTTTGTTTTTTCAATTAGATCTCTTCGTCTTACCAAGCGGGCTGCATTTATATGATCAAAAATACAGATTTAATTTTTTTCTTTTACAAATGTATTTTTTTCTAGTGAAGGTAAAGCAAATTTTGTGATGTAAAAAATGTGAACATGCAAAACTTGTTTTGATGAGATAAAAACAATGTACGATATACAATGTTAGCATAATTTTAGCAAACAAAATTACCAGGTAAATTACCATGCCATAGCATATCTTCAGGTCAACCTCCATTATTTGTACTGCAAAATAAATTGAAACTCAACCACTTATGAGTAAAACACTCACTGTGAAAGTCACTGGTGGATTGCAAATTAAACTTTCAATGGACTGTTGCCAATTGACCCTTCGCTAAGCCCTACCTTCCCTAGTTACTGTTACTTTGCCTGTCAAGCTTTCATGCCTGGCACTTCAGTTACAATATGTATGCGCCGGTGTCAGACATTGCCAGGGATATAATTAGTCATTTTTGGCGAACAGGTGAGATATGTGAGAAAGCCAGACAGAAAAGGACTGCAGTATGCATTACAGGGGTATATTCATGACATAATAGGCAACCGGTCAGAAAATAACTTAATCAAAATTGAAGCTAGGTTAGCCGAGCCGCCTCATACACTGATCATTCAACAGTTTAACTCATGCACTGCAGGATAGGGGAAATTTAAAAATTATCTAATAACAACTAATTAAACCATGATTTCCCAATTTTAGCCAAAAAAAGCCTGATAGACTAATTGTTGTGTATTGAAATATAGCGTTACTAACTGACGAGGAAACACGCATAGACAGTGCTTCTACATAATTCATTCAGAAACAGCCAGAAAGAGGAAACTGGTGGATTTGTGCAGAATATTAGCATCATTGACCCAAAACAATGTGTTCCTTTAACTGTGAGCAAATATTAATCGGACACGATATATAAAAGCAGACACTAACCCGGTATGACGTTGTCACCTATGACTAAATCTACAAAAGACTGACGAAAACATTGCTAAATTGTAGCTCTGACATGGACCCGAGGGATATAAATGACTGAAAAAATCTCGGTTTTGTTCTGTTGATATGTCATTTCAAATATTCGTAGTTTAAAACAGATGGAAATATGATTGCTATTAGTATGACAACTATGGCAAGGGCCAAAGAGTAATTGAGTTTTTAATGTGATGTATGTGATGACAGTGAATGTATTCGTGTTGCCTGTTTGTTTTGTGAATGTGTAATGAGAACGCTGATGTGGTCAGTGGCGCCTGCCGCCATACGGCTGTACGGATTGTGCGCACCTACCATGAGAGGGCATGAATGAATGCTGCTTATTTATTTATTACATAATTTAAATTGATTAGTAAACAGTATACACTACGATATATTGACAAACCAAGAAAGATCGAGAATAAATAAAGGTGTGCGTTTGTGTATTTTAAAGTGTGTAAGTACTTGCATGGTGGGAGATGGGTAAAGAAATCTATTGGCTTTAGTTTTGTTTGTGGTTTTTTCGCACCACAAAAATTACAATTCAGATAGCTTTTATTTGAAACAAAGTTCAAAATGAGCAAACTCTCTTTAAAATAGCTAAACTTAATTGAGACATTTGCCAAAAGGCCTAAACCAATGAGACAAATATTGCTTTCCCACATGGGGCGACCCCAGTCTCATTGGCACCTGAGCCGGGGAAACTCCAGGCCCAGCCAGTGTCTCATTCATCAGACAATTCTGATCGAGCTGCGCAACCTCCTCGCATGGAACTGCTATACCGTTCAAGGCATTTTAAACAATTTCAGAAATAAGGCACGATGGGGCGGGGTGGTGCTGGATATGTGCGTACCTTTGAATAAAATCCTGCAGGCGCCCTTGGATGTGGTTGTGTGGTAAAGCCAAATTTAAATTGCCACTTGTGGAAAAATAAAGAAAGTAAATGGATGAATTTAAAAATGGAAATATATTTAAGCAAAGTCTGAACAATTTGAAATCTGAGACTAATCAATAAATTATAAATTTTCTTCCAGTAAAAAGGATGATACATACAGATGAAGTCAAAATTAATAGTCGCCCTGTATATTCACTTCCCCAATTTCTGTTTGACAGACAGATTGATTTTTTTCAACACATTTCTAACATAAGACTTTTAATAACTCATTTCTAATAACTGATTTCTTTTTTTGCCATGATGACAGTACATAATATTCGACTAAATATTTTGTTAAGATACTAGTATTCAGCTTAAAGTGCAATTTAAACGCCTAACTAAGTTTATCAGGTTAATTAGACAAGTTAGGGTAATTAGGCAAACCATAGTATAATGATGGTTTGTTCTGTAGACAAAAAGAAATATTGCTTAAGACAGCTAATAATATTGACCTTATTTTTAATATTTAAACTTATTTTATTCTAGCCAAAATCAAACAAATAAACTATCTAGAAAAAAAAATCTTGCTCTGTTAAACTTCGTTTGGGAAATATTTGAAAAAGAAAAAAATTCACAGGAGTGCTAATAAATCTGACTTCTACGGTATATCTATTGACTTAACAAAGGAAATATATTGTGAATAAATTAGTGCTCTTGTTCTTACACTAAAACACCATAAATGTCAACATGTGCCACTGTTTTTAAAGTGAAAAGTTCAAGACAACGCTTAGGGAAATGGGTCAGTTGGTGTGGCATTGAAGCTGGCATCAGTAAAAATTCCCAGCGTCCCAAGAGTGGTAAAAATCACAAAAATCCAGAGGAACAGTCTGTCGGCCACCATAGCAACATACTGCCAGTCCTCCTTCAACTGAGAGCCAGAAAAAAAGACAAGAACAGAGGATGAAAAACAAAACACAAAAGGAGGAAGGTGATAGAAAACAGTAAAGGGAATGAGGAGATTTAAAGAACACACATACAAAAGCAGGAAATGTTACAGACAATTTGGGCTAAAAATGACTTACAGCCTCATAATCTTTCTCGGCCTGGAGCTGCTCTGCGATGTAAGTGATGGCCTCCACGGCAGTCTTGAGTTCTGGAGGAAGAGTGAGGTAATGACTCGGGCCGTCGATGAACTTCCTCAGGTCGGTGCACTGACCGTCAGGCTGGTATCTGCACCACGGGAATGAGGAGGCAATATTACTGTTGATTTATCATCACTGATTTATTGAGCATGCTTGGCATTATTTTGTGTGTGAACTGCCTATAAATGAACTCTGTACGAGCATGCAAACACTCTGACGAATGCTTAACCAATGCATTGTAAGCACAAGGTCATGTTACTGTACATACTTTTACTCCAGTATAGTGGCAGTTACACTCAAATGTTTGTGCAACAAAGTAGTGACTGGTGCTCACATTTATTCACATTTTAACTTGATTTCTTTTCCAAAAAAGTGTGAAAAACTGGAACAGCATTACTAAACATTCAATTCCTAATATGCAGCTAAGAGTTATGATTACAATATGTAAAACTGACAGCACTATTCCTTTCAGAAAGCATGACAGCAGATGTTTGGTACTCCAGCCACATTTATTTACATAAAGTACTGTCAAAGTTTTATCTATTAAAGTATTGTACATTTTATTATTATGTAATCCATAAAAGTGTCTATGTTGCTTCAAATGGATTTTAACAAATTGAAAATAACTCTGTGGGATTATATTTCTCATGGACATCTGACTGTAATTGACACAGATGAGTAAACGGACTGAAGAACATTTTAATATCAAAGAAGGTGTAGTCTAAGAGCCACGTCTAATAAATGTGCTGTTTTCCACCAAGGCAACCCGGGGAGCCAAATATAATTTGGCAAACTGGCAGTGGGAGGAGTTATACAAATCAAAACAAAGAAGGATATTCCGTTAATGAACAACAGAGGTTTGATTAGCAGCAGACAGAAACAAATGACAGCACTCAAAGTCGGATGACAAGCGAGGTCACTAATGTCAATAATGCACAATGAGACAGGCGATGGTCAGGGCAGGCAGCAGAGAATCACAACAGTAAACAGTAGTGTCAGGGCAGGCGATGAAGAAGCAAAAATCAGGCAAACAGTCCAAGTCAGCAACAAATAAACAGTCGGAGACTGTAGGAAAATGCTTAGACTTGAGCACAGAGCAAATCAAGACTTCTCACGGTGTGACTGGAGAAATTGACTTATATGAGAGTACAATGAAGGCTTGTGGGAATTGTAGTTTGTACAGTTCTGAATTCTGGCGAGCGGGGCCTATGCCGGTTGGTGAGGGGATTACAGTAGCTGGGACAGAGTTGGTGATAATTCCTGCCTGATCTCACAAAGAAATGTAACTTTTTGTCAATTTAGTAACCAATTTGTACGAATTTGTATGAAAATGTATGATTTTTTAGAAAGAGACATGGCACAAAACCTCACCCCTAAACCAAACTGTAACTGGCAGGTGAGCCAATCGTACTGAATTGTATGAATAAGCTTGTATGAATTTATCTGAACTAAAATTAAATAAAAAATTTACAAATTGTGGTGAGATAATGTTAGACACGGCACAGACATTTTCAAAGAAGAATAACTGACTTTATTATTTCTTCATGTTTACTTAGCATGTTTCTTAAATATCTGCAAACATCATCTTTTGTAAGCTGTATTTTATGCCTTAGAAGAGTCAAAAACAAAAACAATTGAAATGAAGGCACACTCTTTTACTAATTATTATTATTATTATAATTATTTAACAACAACAACAACAACAAAAACAATTTGGGATAAACCAGGGGGATATTCCAGAAAGGTGGGTTAACTTACAATTTAGTAAATTATAACCTCTAAACCAGCATACCATGAGTATGTCAGTTCCAAAACACCTGAGAAGAGTTAGTTCAATCAACCTCCTGAAGATACACAGTGCATACTTAAAGGCATTTTCAGTAAATCGCTGAACTCACGAGTCACCATAGAAAGTCACGGTGAGAAAAAAAGGGCAACGTACTTTATAAAGGGGGAGTTGGAGGTGTTAATGTTGGCGTACAAAGAATTAAAGTCGATTATACTGAAAAAGAAATACAGCTGCATCAACAAAAGAAAGAAATATAAGAAATCAATAAGGAAAACGTTTATTCAATTGTACATGCTCCCCTACCCTTTTATTTTAATAAAAAATAAACTTATCTTATAAATCCTTTTTGAGTATGTTATATAACCTTTTATGCATTTACTTGTCCTGGCAATAATTCCTTAAGGCTACAGTAATAATGCATATGGACTAGTATATGGCTTAAAGAAATGGTAATCCTTCTGAAGCTAGATGACCTCTGTTCAAAGTCAAACTAATCTAAGAAACATTCGTCTAAAAGGTAATATTTGATTACTGGAGCTATGTATTAAACAACTCCGAGGAGCTGCTCAGTCCCCTTATAAAGGCTAATCAGTGGTTGAATTGCCCTGACACAAAAACAAAGAGCTGCACTGAATGTTTTCTGTGGTAACGTCAGTTTAACATTCTTTAGAATGCGTTAACAAAACAATTATGATTTCCTTTAGCTTCCAGTATAATGCCAAAATTACAGCTGAAGTAAAAATAGTTGGCTATGCTACAGACATTCTTCAAAATATCTATATTTGTGTAAAAAAAAGTCAGGTTTACAATTACCCAAGACAACAGAATTACCCTTTTAGGTGAACTATATCTTTAAATATTCATACTGCAAAGTTTAAAAGTTGACTTCACCAAGTTTCTCAGATTGTTTCAGTAAGTTATGAACACAGTCTGAAACCTCAGGCAGCAAGTCTAAATCCGTGGTGGATCACATTACTTTGTCCTTGAGAAAAGGGTGCAAGCGTTTAAAGCTTTAGAATGTATTGGTATCTGTGTCCTTCCTGCTGTGCGAGTATGCGCACCCACATAATCCCAAATCAGAGAAAGAGGAGGCTTCACAAAAGACCTGTGTCAAGGTGACCCATATCCCAATGTGGGGCACAGATCATATTCACTCACTCTTTCATTTAGTCACTCAACCATTTGATCACTCACTCACTCACTCACTCACTCACTCACTCACTCACTCACTCACTCACTCACTCACTCACTCACTCACTCACTCACTCACTCACTCACTCACTCACTCACTCACTCACTCACTCACTCACTCACTCACTCACATTGTCATTTAACAATTTCATCACTTTATTCACCCATCAGCTATTTCATTTAGTCACTCAACCATTTCATCATCACTTACTCTTTCATTTAGTCATTTAACAATTTCATCACTCATTCATTCATCCATCCATCCGCTATTTCATTTAGTCATTTAACCATTTCATTACTCACCCTTTCATTTATTCACTCAACCATTTTATTACTCATTCACTCTTCCAATATATATTTTTGTCACCCAACCATGTCATCACTCACTTATTCATTGTCACTCATCCATTTCACCACTCACTCACTGACTCACTTAGTCATTCAACCATTTTATCACTCATTCAATCATCCACTCATTTAGTCACTCAACCATTATTTACTCACTGATCTGCCATTTCAGTCACTTAACCATTTCATCACTCATTCATTCATCTGCTATTTCATTTAGCCAATCAACCATTTTTCACTCACTTTCATGTATTCACTCAACCATTATCTCACACTCACTCATCCACAATTTCATTAAGCAACTCAACCATTTTATCACTCTTTCATTTATTCACTCAACCATTATCACACACTCACTCATGCACTATTTCATTTAGTCACTCAATCATTTTATCACTCACCAAGCCACTACTTAATTTAGTCACTCAACCATTTCATCACTCAATAAAACTTTTTATTTTAGTCACTCAACTATTTCATCACTCACTTATTCATTCAGTCAGTCACACACTCAGTTTAATCACTCACTCTTAAATTTAGTCACTTAACCATTTAATCACTCACTTGTTCATTCAGTCACTTAAGTTTAATCACTCACCCTTTCATTTAGTCACACAACCATTTCATAATCACTTACTCTTTCATTTAGTTAAACCATTTTATCACTCACTTAATCATCCACTCATTTAGTCACTCACTCACTGATCAACCACATCATTTAGTCACTCAACCATTTCATCATTCGATCATTCATTCGTTCATCATTCATTCGTTCGTTCGTTCGTTCGTTCGTTCATTCATTCATTCATTCATTCATTCATTCATTCATTCATTCATTCATTCATTCATTCATTCATCCACTATTTCATTTAGTCACCATTTCATCGCTCATTCACTCTTTCATTTACTCTCTCATTTAGTTAAACCATTTTATCACTCACTTAATCATCCACTCATTTTGTCACTCACTCACTGATCAACCACTTAATTTAGTCACTCAACCATTTCATCATTCGTTTGTTCATTCATTCGTTCATTCATTCATTCATCCACTATTTCATTTAGTCACCATTTCATCGCTCATTCGCTCTTTCATTTACTCTCTCACTCACTCTTTCATTTAGTCACTCAACCACTTCATCACTAACTCTTTCATTTAGTCAATCACTGCATAAATCCTTCTCTCTCTTTCTTTCTTTTTCCTCCAAATCCCAGCTTTCATGCGGATGGTGCCACCATCGTGAAATCCCTCAAATACGCTGATGAAATGCTTATTGCTGCTGATGTGTTGCATTGCCTTTTTGTGAATCTGTTCACTAACATCTGTTTCATTATAAATCCCCCTGCCTTTTCTCTTCCCCCTCATCCATTTCTTTCAGATACTACACCTCCCCATCCCAACACAAGGGGTCAGTGTGGCTCTTCACTCCCATCAGCGTACATCTCTCCACTTGTGTATTCAGGTGCTGGTTCAGGAGCTCATTTCAGGTAGTCTGTGGTTCCCCTGTGAGCTTGGGTGACCTGAGTGGAACCCCATTAGACTGAGACATACGTTAATGCCAAGCTGAGAGCAGAGAGAGGATTGGGAGAAGAGAGCAGAGAAAAGCTTTAGCCTAGTAGAGGAGTGTGTGTTAAGGCTGTTACAAATATTCTGGACCCAAAACTGCACTAAAATATTATAGCAGAGATGGCTTAATCAATCAAAACCTGTCGTACTGTGTTCAAAGATGCCAGATTGTTAAGAATCTTAAAGTGAAAAGAATATGTTATTGTTGAATGCATGTGCAGAATGTAACCCAGGGTCATTGGAAATACATAGTAAAGCCTCCATTTTTGTGTCCCAACATACTTCAACATACATTTGACAGAAATTTATAGGTAAAATGAATGCTATGGGTTAGCATGACTGAAATAGCTTGTCACTTTTCACACTAATGATATTTACAGGGACATATTATTGTTTGCTCGATTGCTCACTTTGCACACTGTTGTATTTGTGATGCAGAGCATAGATGCTTTAATGCACAGGTGTCAAACTCAGTTCCAAAAGGGCCGCAGCTCTGCACAGTTTAGTTCCAACCCTAATTAAACACACCTGATCAAACTTGAGTCTTTCAGGCTTGTTTGAAACCTACAGGTAAGTGTGTTGGAGCAGGGTTGGAAATAAACTGAGCAGCGCTTCGGCCCTCCAGGAATTGAGTTTGACACCCCTGCTTTAATGGGTCACGAAACACCAAAACACATTTTTTTAGATGTTGACAGTCATATACATGTCCCCTGTTGCTAAGACATGATTAGGACACTTATATATTTCACTAAAAAGTGAAAATTGGTTGTTTTTACATTGTTTATAGAAAATTTGTGCGTCCGGTTTGAAAAGAAATTTAAGTAACGTAACGGCACATCTGTTCATTAAAAAAAACTTGGTTTGAACCAATCAGAGCGCTTTATTGTGAACGAGATGCGATTTCATTAATATGCATGATATAGCCTCGAGGACTAATTTTACCTGTTACAGTGTTTAGAGACGCCACGTTGTGTTGCCAACCGTAATTCAAACATGCAGATGAAGAAAAATTGTTCGGAGACTTGGGTCATCAGTGTTGCGTTTATAAATGTATCGCAACAAAAGTTTTGTTTCCATTCCCACGTGACAAGTGCACAGCTGACGTGTGGACCCACATGTGTGGATTTCAGTGGTCTGCTAACACGCAACAAAAATATTTTCTGAGGAACAATTTTTACCCAAGAGCTTTTCGCGTCTGGAAATGGTGAAATCCAAATTTTGCCACTCATTTCCTTTTAAAAAAAAGATGCGGTTCTAGTTTGTGTTGATTGTCCTATCTCTACGGATTTGGTAAGTGTGTGATCAGTGTGCTTTGTTTATGTTTACTCAGATGGCAAAGTTAGTTAGTATTATTAGCAGTACTCTTTCAGTTGTTAAAGACATACCTCAGTCAAAATGATTTAGTTATCAAGTTTACAGTAATTTCACTACAATATTATGGACCGAAAGATCCGCTGTTAATGCTACTCTCCAAATGTAAACACCTTAATTAAACTATTACTGTTGTGTAGGATTTTCGCTGTGTTGGATTTTCAGGATAGGATATTCTATACACACACAGCTGTCTGACACTATTCCATTAAAACTACTCTTCCAGCAGCTCATACTCACATCCAATATCTTATTTGTCACAGGGGGCATGCATGAAATGTTCTTGAACGAAAGTGTAAGGGCCAAACTGCAGTTAAAGTTAACAAATTAAAAATGAAACACCCGAAATTACACGAAACCTTGTTGGAAATGTGGATATCATGGTGACGCAATTATGTAAATCAAATTATGTGCTATAATAAGCAAAACAAGATCATAAAAGGAACATTTAAAAAGCAAATTCATGTAAACACCTTCATCAGATTGTTGTCTTATTCAGACTAAGGCAAATAATTTGATTACTGATGTTATGTAAACACAGTCACTGTTTATTTCCCCTGTATCCATGTTGTGTGATGCCTCTGTGTTTGAGTTGCTGGTGTGAAAATCAGCACATGCACTTAATGAAACTCTGCATTCTATGCTAACCTTTCGCCCTTTAGCCACTTTACACTTAACAAAGCTGAAAATGATGAGGTTGTTTCTTTGTGTAAAATGCATCTGAAATTCTGCTGCTTTATTTTAGAGTTTTAGTGAAGATGAGTCTTTAGAACAAATATAATGTACTGAATTCTAAGACAACCACACAAGGGTAAAAAAACATATACAAGACCATAGACCCAGCCCTAAATGCCATCCTTTGGACCATAAACTTTTAAACAGTGTATCAACCTCTTATATGCCACATTAAAACTGCAAAGCGTTTTTTTTTTTTTTTTTTACATGTTGAAACCCATATTTTAGATATTTTGCCCATGATAAGTTAGACAGCCAAAATGAAAGTCTCAGCGGTGTCTGCACAAAACTAGTTGCGTATTAAATCAATGAAACTAAAGGTCACCGGTACCCTCTGCCATTCTTGTAGATTCGTTCTTCTTTCCTCCAGCTTCTCTTTCTCTTCCCCCTCCCTCCTCACTTTCTACAGCGGCAGACACAGATGACTAATCAGGAAAGACTAATTTGACTAAAACATGGTGGCAACGGTGCCAAAACACGCTATAAAAGCAATTAAAAAGCAAGATAGCGCTGCCTCATCGAATTTCTCTTGCTTTGCTCTCTCACGCTCTTCTCCTGTCTTTAAATCTCCTCCCGCCTCTCTTGAGTCTAATGCAGGCCAGGTCTAATGTGTCAGAGCCCATTTGTGCTGATCATTTTTATTTTCGTGATGATTTCTTCCTTTTTCTCACCCCAGCCACACGCAAATATACCCCTGATGCACGCAGCTCTGAGAGTGTAATTCCCTGGTTGAGGTGATTTAAAGTGTGTAAGTGAGAGCGAAGGATTAATCAAACCCTCAGGCGTTGAGCTGTGCTCAAGCAGGGTCTATGAGTCAGAGACCACAAGCAGAAATGCCCCTGTTTTGCATTTTTCTAATTAAACATGCAGCATTTTATTACAAAACACATAATCGGCAAAGCAACTCAAGTTACACTTTTAATTAGAAAAATTAACTCATAATTATAAAAATTAACTATACCAGCTAAACCACATGGAAACAAGAACCTATGAAGGCCGTTCACAGTAAGCATTAGAAAGATAACTGTAAGTGTATTTTGGCATCCACATTAACGGATGACACTGTTATGTTAATCTTGAGTTCAAGTTTTTTTTGTGAGCCAGGATTAAGAGTTAAACTATCATAGTCATACAATTTCAATATCTTTCAAATTTGGATTAAAGTTCAGCTTTAGACTTTGATTGCCAGATTTTTAAAGGTGCCATAGAGTGCATTGATTCAAAATGTTTAAAATGATCTCTTATGGAGTATTTGTGGCTTGCGTAATCGCAATTATTATCTTGAAACAGTTGTACAGGTCAATTTCTCACACTAGGAACTGGCCCTAATATGAGGGTCAATTTGAGTTTACTTTTTTTTCTGCAAAATCTACTTGACCTGTGACCCTAATGATCAGGGAGCTACAGAAAAACCTGGGAGCTCACCTGTGGGGTTTAGGGAAGAGGAAGTTCATGTTGCTGGGCTTGCGGATGAAGTACTCGTCTGCTACTCTGCTGATGGCTTGAATGTTCTCCTTTTTGGCAGGTTTTTCAAGAAACAGAGGGGTCTCCACTTTAGGTCGCAGCATTCCCAAGTATGGAGGCAGCATATGGATAAATATCTAGAAGAAATGCAAAAAAAAAAAAAAAAAACCTGAGTTTCTACAGTCATATTTATATGCAATTGTTGATTGTATATCTTTTATTTGTATCTCAAGATACACAACTGTCACAAAATACTGTCACAAAAAAGTCATTATTAGAAAAAATCAATCTAATGTGTCATTTAACACTCTTAGTTTTAAATTATAGAGATTAAACATAAACTGACAAGTTTCAAAGGTCCCGTAAAGAGCTTTGAAATGTGCATTTTTATTTATTGTTTGACAATTTCAACTGAAAAATAAAAAGAGGGTGCGACAGTAGCTCCTCCCCTTGAATAAAACAGCCAATAGCATTTCGCTTTGGCAAATGAGCTTTGCCTATGAGAGTGATTGAGCTCATCTGCATCAAAAGAAAAGTAACTGAGAAGCATCTTTAAGGGGGTGGGACATGTTTGATACTAGAAAGCATTTGATTGGTCAAGATTTGATGAGGTGATGTAAAAAAAAAGTTATTTACACATAAAAAAATAAATAACAATAGTTTGCCTAAAGAGTTAAACTGCAAGCTTTAGATATTTATAATAGTTTTATATGATATAAATGTGAATTTTGTTACTAACTAATAGATATCCTTAAAACTAACAGACAGAAACAAACATAAACAATTATTTTAGTTTCACGAGACCTTTAAAGAAAATGAGTGAAGGGAGGCTGGTCATGGAAAATTTGCTGCTTTCCGTCTCCTGCAGGTTCCTAAGTACTCCTGAGTTGTATGCATTTGCTAAGTACAGTAGTTGCTTTCTAGCCTAAGTGAAAAGAGCCCACCTTAAAGTCTCTATCAACCTGTTTCAACCAGGTATCAATAGATACCAATTGGTCAGCAGAGATTAACTTGATTTTTACTTGATAGTAACACATCTTCAAATGCATCTTTTGACAACTTTGTTTGTATTTTGTCAACACCCTTTCCTCATAATTTTTTATGCTGGATTCAGTTTGATTTATGAGTATACTGAATGAACAAACAGCTTACGGGCAAATAGGAAAACAGATGACTGAAAACGATGTGAATTGCAATAACAGTTTCAACTGTAATGTGTGTATTTTGGCAGCAAAAGTGTGACTAGCTGTTGTGGTGCACTTTCTTAGTGTCCTGCATGTCATGTCTTGCAACAATCACATCGTGATCTTTTCACATTCAACAACATTCATGTTTACACTACAAAAGCAATCCAATCAGGATTAGCACTGAAGATTTAGACAGGTACATAACCACAATAGACAATGATGCTAATCAATGTCAAATTAAATGAGATGACCAATCAAACAAAAGTAACTCAATTTGACAGTTTAAAGAAGAAGAGTGAAAAGGACATCAGTTGAAAGTGAGAGAAGAAAGAACAAAGTAGCAAAACATTCATTATATGAAACTGAATGACAAGAAACAATCTGTAAATGTACTCCTATTACTGTAGATATAGAAGTATGACTGAATTAATGCATATTTTAAAATATTATTTGAAGAGTTTAAAATGACCCACAAACTAAAATAGTTTTGTACAAAATAATAAATTCTAATGAATTTTACTAATAGCATTACATAACATTACAACAGTCACCTAAAGCTGGCTGATTCCTCTCTTTTTCTGCATGACTTCACAAAGGCTCTAAAAGAAAGAGACAGATTGCACTTGCCCAGCACAGAATCTTTCAGCCTTGCGTCACACGTTTATTTTCACATGGCCTTGTTGCCATGAGTGAATGGCCTGCCAAACTGAACTGAATTTAAATAAAGAAATGCTGTTTGTCACTATAATTTCAGAAATGTGTTCAGAATGCAATGTTGTCCACTTGAAACTGGTGTTAATAGAAGGTGTAAAGGGGTCACTGCAGTATGATGGAAAGGCCGTGCCTCAAGTAAGTTTAAATAACACAGAGCTCACAGCCAATCATAAAGGTTAATAGTCTAACATAATAGGCTGCTTTGTGGAAAGATGCTTTTATTTTCCTGCACGGCATCTTTGCTAAGCTGAATTGTGGTCTATTTTTAACTCTTGCCTATTTTAGTCTGTTTTCATTTGTATCTTTTTTCATGAGTTTGTAATTGGCAGATGGGGTGTTTGGAATAAAAGAAAATGTTAAATAGAAGCATTTACTGCATCTGTAATTTTAACAATGTAGCCGCCAATTTGCTGAAAGCAGCTGACTCGTTGAAAATTGCACAAAGGGACGTGCATCTCATTACAAAAGCAGGATGATTTTGTGTTTTGCTAATGTTTACTTCCATTCAGACAATTTCTGTGCATATCTAGTTGGAATCTGATCATGATTTAGGAAGCGTGAAATCCATTTCAAGCTACATTTTTGTGTGTATCTCAGTTTCTTCCTCATCGCCGTTTGTCATTTTCCCATGTCATGTGAAATGTAAACATGTCAGCCACATTTTTTTGAGAAAACATGCTCTATGTCTTTTAGAAGGAACAAAGTTATGTCGTCACAAAGTCAAGAGAAAAATTACAATCTACTGCTAGTTGGCCTGATATATAATCCTCTTTGAGTGTTCTATGTTTTAATATAGTCTTTAAAGGTGCTGCATTTAAGTTTTTGACTACTCTAAAGCATAAAAATACCATAATATGTCTGCAGATATTTAAGAAACATGCTAAGTAAACATTCTTGTTTATCTGAAAAGCAATGCTAAAGTCAGATATTCTGTTTTAAAATAGCAGTGTTACGTGCCAGAATGGCTTTCTTTGTTTTGGTCTCTTTAACCCGCCCAATGTCAGTTTAGCCAATTATATTACAGCACCCCAGGTTGACTTAGTGTGATTCATTCAGTCATGAAGGCTCAAAGCATGCATCCGTGACTAAAAATGCAACCTTTGGTGGACAGTAGCAGCCTCCAAAATGAGACGCAGATTCAGAGTTCCACATGAGGTTATTAATTAGGAAATAACCTAAACATTACAAATGAAACATTAGGTATGGTGGGACTTGTTCCATAAACCAAGCTTACACAAAACAACTACAGGTCCCATTCTGCACAACACAACTAATGGTCCCAACCACATTTATAAGGCAAAAAAAATCCCACTTATTAAAGATGACAGGGCACACTTGTGAAGTGAAAACCATTTCAGGTGACTACCTCTTGAAGCTTATCAAGAGAATGCCACGCGTGTGCAAAGCAGTAATCAAAGCAAAAGGTGGCTACTTTAAAGAATCTAGAATAAGACATATTTTCAGTTGTGTCACACATCTTTTGTTATGCGTATTATTCCACATGTGTTAATTCACAGTTTTGATGCCTTCAGTGTGAATCTACAATTTTTTATAGTCATGAAAATAAAGAAAACTCTTTGAATGAGAAGGTGTGTCCAAATTTTTGTTCTGTACTGTGTGTGTGTGTGTGTATATATATATATATATATATATATATATATATATATATATATATATATATATATATATATATATATATATATATATATATATTTGAACCAATCTTTAACTTGCTGTTATGGAACGAATTTAAGTGTGGACGTTTAGTTCAGCTGATTGAAGTCAGGTTTTTGACTTTAATCCCCACTTTTCTAAACGACTTTTATGAAACAGCCACCAGGTCACATTGTATCCCTGTGTATTAACAACACAAGACTTGCAGTGATAAGCAATTTGGCTGTTTGCACCAGATTTAATCTGACATAATTTTTTTTTTACACAGCCATTCAAAAGCACAGAATAGTGCACTCACTGCACTGCAACGAATGTGCGCTGCTTTTAGTAGTATGGCAATAAATGTCTAGTAAAATGGCATTCAAACTCGCATTATTAGCATTTAATACTGAATGAAACACATGAGGTGTACCTGAGGTGATCGTTGTCAGTTTTCTGTTGTTCAGTTTTAAAAAACAGAAGCGGTATCTAATATATCAATGCGAGGTGTTGGTTAGAACAAAAAGTCCTTTTAATATGGAAAATATTCCTTCTATTGTGTGCAGTTGCTTTTATTTAGAACACTGTTTAAATCAGCCTTTGTTGATGTCGTCGATCTAGCAATCTGCTCTTGCATGATTTAAACCAATGGTGCAATTCTTAGTTCAACCGCTGGGTGTCAAACTTACGTCCTGCACCTTTAAAAAAAAATTAGGGTTTCCAGGTCTAAGAAAATAATTCAGCCAAATGACCACTCAAAATATGCCCAATTTTTTTTTAAAGTGGCACAATATTTGGAAATATTTAAATATGATATATATTTCTCCAAAATATTATATATCTTTTCTGCTATTTTGTGATAAACCTGCTTATACATATACAGTATACAAATCAATACTGACTGATTTTCTGCACACCAAATAAAGCTACCTTTCTCAAATATGGTCATAATTGATGTTTTGCTCATTTAACATGTGATGTGCAGTCAAATGAATTTACTCTCTCAGTTGCAGCAGTCTTTGGGTCACCAAGTATGCATACTGGGATCAGTGTCCATTAAGAACGGGCCACATTATAAAAGTAGTTAAAAAAAAAACAACCCCCAACTTTTTTCTCACAACTGCATTTTTGAAAGAGCCCAACTGTGTGGATAAACTGTGACCCTAGCAACAGTAGTTACATAAGGTACATATGGTTGACAGTCAATCTTTTAGATGAGTTTCTAGCCGGATGCATTTGGATAAGCAGTGTGTACATATTTTTTGACTTGCCGTCTATTAAACTGACCTTGCGCACCCAGAGGGGCATTTGGTGTGTGTTTGGTGAGCGATGGTGAAGGTTGAGCACCACGACACTGAGGATGACAGAAAAGGTGACCAGGATCATGGTTATCATCAGGTAGTTGACAATAATAGGAACACCCAGAGATGTTTCTGGGATTTTGTTGGCCAGCAGAAGCAGAAAGACAGTCAAAGTCAGCAGTACATTGATGGAAAGACCCATCTTCTCCCCTGAAACGAAAAGATAGCTTCTCTTGAGCCATTCATGCTTATACAAGTGTACACTAGTCTAAATGTGTGTTTTTTTGTGATTGGGTTAATTGTACATTAACATGTTGTTAATAATAGACCAGCTAAGAATTATGATCTGGTAAACGTTAAACCAGTAAAATCTTTTTGTCACAGGAACTTATCCATAGATGTATAAATATCTGTTATTTACTGTAATGAGACATTTATTAGTTCAAGGACTATAAAAATCAAATAAAAAGGCCATTTGAATTGATGATCCTTCATTTTCTGGCCATATTGATTTTCTAAAAGTTCTAATTAATTCTGGCAATAGAGAAGCAAAAACAAATTTAAGACCCATTACCTGCATCGGGTGGCAAGTAGAAATTAAAGATGGCAATGATGGTGATCAGGATACAGGGTAGGACGATGTTAACAACATAAAACATGGGCTTCCTCTCAATGATCAGGTAGAAGGTGATGTCCTCATACAGATCCTCTCGAACATTCTTTCTAGAAACTTTGTGACGAATGTGCCATTCTCCACTCTCTGAAATGACAGAATATTTTTTTCGGTGGATACATCATAGTGTTTAAACAAAGATATTGTGCATTCAACTAGTCTAGCTCAGTGGGGGATTTTAGTTATATATATATATATATATATATATATATATATATATATATATATATATATATATATATATATATATATATATATATATACTGCAGATCGCTGGAGAACTACAAGTCTGCCACCAAATGGACTACAAATCACAGCATGCACCGCACACACACACACCAGTTCCTAATCTTGTCTGATTGCAAACACTCACAGCTGAAGCTGCTCAAGGACTCATTACATAGACTATTTATACACCTATAGCATTTTCATTCCCCTGATAACCATGTTCTTTGATTTTAATATTTTGTTATCTAATCCTAGACTTGTTCCTAATTTATCTTACCTTTATCCATTTTTGACTTTTTATCGACGACCACTTCTGGATTATCTATATGTACCCAGTTGATCCTGTTGTTGACCCTTGCCTGATTTACAATCATCGTAAAAAAAATCTGCATTTAGATTTATGCCTCCATGAAAGCCTCCTTCAGTTACAATAAATAGTTTTTAGTTTTTGAAAAAGATAAATTTTTTCTTTAATTTTACTTCAACTTTTTTGTTTTACTCCACATAAAATAAAATGTCATTTATTGTATCAATAGTTTATTTACCCAAAAATTATGAGGTCCGAACATTTTTAAATGTTTTGTACGAAAAAGAAGTGACGATCGTCCTTAATGAAAAATATCAGTGGAACATGCAAATCATTCAAGAAGTTCAAGTGGAGATGATTCTAAAAGGCAATGACAAATCATGGACTATTTTGCGTAATAAATGGAAGAGCCTTGCAAAAATCCATGCCAGAAAAAAAAAATAAAACTAAGACGCATTAGAACAGGTGGCAAGAACACATTTCATTACTTTGATGATATGGATAGAATTCTTAGTAGGGCTGCATGATTTGCCAAAAAAATTTTTTTTTTTTAAAGTAAAAAATAAAAAAATCGAATTGCGATTTAAAATACGATTTATTATAATTTCATTAAAGAGCTCCAGGTTTGATGTGGGGGTTTTAACAGCACCAAAGAAAGACCAAGCAGTCTCAAAAATATATATATATTTTTAACTAATTTAAAATAAGTTGAATCAGCCCAGTTCTTGAGATTTTATGGGACCACTTAATTTTTTATGTTCAGTTCATTTTTTAAAAGTGTTAAGTTAACTTAATCGATTTGTGTTGGAATTTCATTACAGTGCATAATCACAAAGTTTGCTACACTATTCTTCTGTTTATTCAAAACCATTTAAATACTTATTGAAGCCAAGTAAGTTGTCAGTTGATATGACAAATTCAGAAAATAACTACAGTATTTTAAATTCAATTTAACAAATCATTTATAAAACCTAATAAATAGATATATAAAACCTTAACATTAAGATTGTGTTACATTTTTCATATTGATTCCATGACATGCATTGACAGAGCAGAGAGGGAGTTCAGAGCTTTTATTTAATCTCCAGAGCAGTGAAATAGGGGCTCGTGGGCTCTGCTGTAACAGTTGTCTGCTTTTTAAGCTTTCACTTATCAGAAAGAGGCAATTTCCAAGAAAAATTTCCATCCCAATGACCATTCAAAATCTGCCCAAAAGTTTTGAAAAGTGGCTCAATTTTTTTTGCCAAGTCCACTCTTAAGTAATTTTGCTGGATTATCACAAATGGCAATATTTATCATATCTTCTCTGATATTAAGTGATAAACATACTTGTAAATACAGTATACAAGTCAATACTGACTGATTTTTTTTCACCAAATAACCCAACCTTTCTCAAATATGGTCATAATTGATGTTTTGCTCATTTAACATGTGATGTGCAGTTAGATAGATTTACTCAGTTGCAGCAGTCTTTAGTTTGCCAAGTATGCGTTCTACAAAAAATGTATACAAAAATAGGCCTTCTCCTAATGCAGCAACTTCCATTTTTCTTTTGATATTTGACACCTTTTGCCAATTTATCAGGAAGTGACGATTTTGTTTGGAAATGGTGCTTTATTCGCAAATGTTTTATTCGACATTCCAGTTTTGCTAATAAATTGTATTGCATCTTTGGATGGAATCAAGGCTAATGAAACGTGTGTACCCCAATTTCAAGTCCCCCCCACAAAAGTTGTTTTAAGACATTTTACTTTACTTTAATACACTTTTGTCAATTTAATTTGGGCACCAAAATGACAGCAATACAATTTAGTTTTTTTTTTTACAATTTAGAAAAAGTAAAACAATATATATTTAAAGGAATTTTAAAAAGGTAAAAATCCCCAAAACACATGCTAAAAGGTGAAAAAAATGTGTAAATTGTATATTAAATTGTTTAAGACTGGTAAGAGAATGTTATCATGCTGTTACCGCTAAAGCCTGTGTCCAAGATGATCTCTTTTATTTCCTTTCCCCTTTTATCCAGGGCATGTTGAAGATCCACTTCTGAAGAATCATATGTATAGGAGCGGAAAACCATGGTACAATTTTGCCAGTCAAAAGGAAAGTATGTCACCTGCAGATGAAGAAAAAGATAACGAAAAAAGAGATTTTGCATGTAAGTGTGTGCACAGGCTTTCCTTTCAGATCTTTCTTTAATCATCTATGCTTTTCTCACACACAAAGACAAGACAGAACATCAAACGCAGGCAAACTAGAGCAAGGCCAAACAAAAGCAGCACTACAAATGAGGAGGGAAGAAAAGTTCACAAAACAACTACAAACAAATCGGAAAAGGGAAGAGAGACTTTTTGTTTTTAAAAGATGAACTTCACGCCAGGAGTGTACAGCTGTAATATATTCATAGCGCAGTTGTGCTGAGTATAAACACTTGTGATTTAACGCTCCATTACACTTCTTATGATTTTACACTTCATTACAGTATTTAAAGGTCTCATCCATAACTAATGCTTATTCCTACAGAATTTACACAAGGTGCAGAGCGTTCATCAACAAGAACAATGCGTGCTCAAAAGAAAGCATTAATACACATTTAGAATTTTTATGGCATGTTGTTAATGTTTCACACAGCACTAATTTACACAATTACAACATTATGCAGCACCTGACTTTTATTACTTCATCGTGATTTACACATTTCCTACAAAAGCAGCAAAAAATAGCAAATTTTACCTTCACTCCGCACGAACTCTTGTAAAGAGCTGGTGGAGTCCATGTCACGCGGCCGTTACTGTAGGCCTGCACATGGACCTGTAGCGCCACACCGAACACGCCATCATTACTGCACACACCAACAAGAATTTGAGTGCACATAAACTTGTAAACTGTTACTAAAACATAAAAACACTCAGACTAATGCTGAGAAACATAGACTAGGCCTTATGTCTCCATGAACAATTACATACTACATAAAGTTGCCACATACTGCATTGATTCAATAAGTACATACATAGTAGGTATGTGTCTTAGGCAAGTTCAAAAATTCTCCAGAAATATGCTAATTTGCTACCCAATAAAACACCTAAAAAATCAGATGGTCCTTATTGACAAATTTTGGAACGGTTGCGAATAGAAATGAGCTCAGATTTCAGTGTTTGCTCTCTCCCTTGCACAAACGCACACATGTAATGTAATGTATTTTTTATTTAATGCCATGTCAGCAACAAAGGCTATTTTCATGGCAAGAACATTTCAATAATAAATATACAATTAAAAATCAACAAACAAATGAAAACATAAATGAAATAAGATTTTTAATGCTAATACATGATGAAAATTCAAAACAATTTCCTGGTTTCACTTTGCTAAAAATGTCTTTAAGTATTAAAGAAATTTATAAAATTTATAAAAAACTTAAATTTGATAAAAAAAGTCTTCTGGGCGCTGTTTCAGTAAGGAGGTTAAGTGAAAACTCAGAGTAAGTTAACCCTGAAATGAGAAAAACTCTGGCTTTTCCATTTCAAGATGGCAGGTTTGTCAAACTTGAGAAAGCAGGGTAAGTCAAGCCTGTTTCTGAAAGAGAGGTAACTTTAACTCAGAGTCAGTTACCGTGGTAATTAATTCTGTGAACCTAACCTGGTCAGGAGCAGGTTTTATTCTCTAAACTCAGAGTTTCTGTCGCTCTTTTCCCCTTTTTTTAAAGACAAATCTGTATTTTTAGCCTTAGCCTTATGTTTCCACCCACCTATTTTAATGTGCATTTTGGTTATGCACATAAAAAATGATTGATGGATAAGCCAAGATGCACATAACTTTTGAAAATGGGCATAAAAAACATAACCCAGTAGGATAAACTTTTTATTCAATAAGAAAAGATGCGCATACACTTTGATGGTAACACTTTTACTGAACAAATTGTAGTATGTGTTTTAAAAAAGGTTTGTTATAAGAGATCATATGCTGATGAAAATGTGTGTGAATGGACAAACCAGCTGGCTGAGCACATTGTAAACCATCTGAACTGTTGTTTTGGTCATTCTAAAGCGCCTTAACCATTTCAGTATTAAATGTTATTATATTATTAATTACCTCCAGTGCGTCTGGAGCTGTCAAGAGCATCTGTTCTCCACGTCTCATGGCTTCAAATGCCACCACACGTTCATTGTGTTTCTGCATTGTCTTCTGAGGTGAAAGTCATTTATTAAATAAAGAAAAGATAGAAGATTGCAGCTTCTTCTACCACAGTAAATTCTGTTTTTACAATTGATATTTGGCGCTAAGTTTATCAGGAAGTGACGGTTTTGTACTCTTTAATTCATTGGATGGAAACGCTGCTTTATTTGCACGTCTTTTATGCGATAATCCCATTTTGCATATAAATTTAATTCGCATTTTTGGATGGAAACATAGGTATTAGGCTACCTATATTTCCGTCACACAAAGAACAAAGTCACGTACAAGAATGGCTTGTCCTTTTTTTAATGAATAACCAGCTTAAATTCATAAAATTTTAGTACTGCTAAATGTCATATCAACCTCTACCACTTGATCAATAATAAAGGCAGACACACAAATGCACTATTAAATCTATTAAAAACTCAATTTTAAACTGATCAAGGCATGTAAATGCGGAAACCTTAAATTAAACATTTCCACTGAACATTAAGCTAAGGTTGCATGCATTCTTGTATTGTCAAATTTGTTGTAGAAACTATGTAGTGGCCTATTTTGTGTAATTTATTGCAGTTACATCTGAAATAACATCAAAATTACGGCCAATTCCCCACTTTTTCAAGTGAAAATGTAATAAACGGAACACATTACATTACTTTTTTATTATACTTAAATATTTAAATATTTTAAATGTAAACTTACGCATTAAATTGCGCAGCTGTTTTCCTATGCTGTCTGTGTTTCGCCGATGCAGTGTTGTTGCTTTTTTAAATATATGGTCATATTTGCTATAACTTTACATGAGCACATCAAGTTCAGCTGGAGAAAGAAATGCTGATTTCTTTTTTCAGATGTTGCCATGGTCACTCGTAATATGTGCACTCCATTAATATTGCCCTTTTATAATTTATTAAGTCTAAGTTGGTCTACTCAAATTTGATTGACCCAACTCAGATCAGCTGTTCTGAAACCAAAAACTCTGAGTTTTTAATCTCTTGGTAAATCAACAGTTCAAGTTTAAACACCGAGTTGGTTGAACCTCCTTACTAAAGCAGGGCCCTGGAATCATTAAAAGCAGGACAGTCCAAGAAAATGTGTTTTACTGTCAGAGGAACTGTGCAGTACTGTACAAACATTGAGGAGTCTTCAGCTTTGAGAAAAAAAAAAACATTTATGTCCAATACGACATCAGATAAAAATCCCTTGATCAAATCTCAAACATGCATGCACAACATGATTTACTCTGAAATAAACATAGCAAAACAATCATACTTGATTAAGAAAGTATGATGAATAAACACAATGTAAAAACAGAAAAAAATTGCCATTGACTTTGTTTTTTTTTGTATCTACTATGGATGTCAAAGCCTGTTTTTTTCGAACAGATGAAAGAACATCATAAAAGATTTGAACCACTTAAGGCAGATTCATACTTCTGTGTGGAGTGACTGCTGTGACCCACGGCACATGTCTTGTGCATAGTCATGCATTTTTTACATGTGCATGCTGTTTGTGTTGCTTTGCAATAACACTTCAGTAACGCTAACTGGTAGTAGATTTTTATGTTCCTCTGTGTGGATTTTTTTTTTTTTTTTTTTTTTTTTACAACAGTTACCTTATATGTACAAGTAGCTAAAACTTGCTCATTTAGAGGCGGGAACCGACTAACCAGCAATAACTTTAATCATAAATTAAACACAATACAAAATATTACAACTAGAGCTCCTACAGGAGACTCAACACTTTTAAACAATTGCTCCATTGGACTTGCAGCTCTCAGCACTGCCTACACTGATCACAGCTACCATGCCGATCAATCAGAGAGCTTGTGCCAGGCGTCGTTTCGACAGGTAGTTAATTTTTTGAGAGGTATGGCAAGGGTGTGCGACCGCGCAATGGCTGAGCTGGACTATACGTGTGCACTTGATGCAAAAGTGTAAATCAGCATTTAAATGTAAGTAAATGGTGAGAAACTTAATTTTTGAGTGAACTGTCACTTTAAGAAGTCTGTAATGTGGTTTGCAGTCAAAAACCAGCTTGAAATATTTCAGAGTACACTCAAGAATGTAAAGAATTAGAGAAAAAAAAAACAAGTAAATAAATAAATAAATGAACACTGATCACAATAACACTTACACTTAATGATGTTAAATGTGCTGTATGTCAGTTTTTGACGCTTCTAAATCATAAAAATACCATAATGTGTGACATATATATACAAGTCAAATATTCTGCTTTAAAAAAGTGCATTCCGTGTCAGAATGCTTGTCTTTGTTTTGGTCTCCACCCACTGCCAGTTTAACCAATTATATTTCGGCACCCAGGTTGCCATGGTAGAAAACACAGCACGTCATTCCAATCTCCTGTGTGTAGGCTATGTCATTCTACTTTTATAGTAACAAATAAGTTATTTTCATTGCCTTTAAAGTGAAATAACTGAACATAAACATAGATGAATGAGAAAAAGGTTCATTTTAGGAGAACTTTTCAGATGGCATTTAGAGGTTTTTGCATCTGAACTCTTTATATGCAGGTGCTTCGAATAATGTGACCTCCGGAGGACAGAAGCAGCCTTAAAAAAATTATATGCAGGTTTAGAGTTATAAAACGTGCAAACAAGTTATTTTAATTTGTGAACAACACAATTATAAAATTATGTATAAAATGTTTTAATTAGCTGACCAGGTCACAGTATAGGCTTGATTAGGCATGCCTATTTTTGCTGGATATATATATATATATATATATATATATATATATATATATATATATATATATATATATATATATATATATATATATATATATATATATATATATATAGTGTATGTTTTATATTATGTTATACAACTGGAAGGATTGACATTCAAGTTTTCACTAACTTTGCAAGATGGCGAGCTATTCTAAAGTGTGATAGATTAGTGAGCTCAAGTCTAACCAAAATCCTGCACACTTATTAATATTTCCCATTACCTATGAGGAATTTCAGAATGCTATGGAATAACATAAAATATATAGTAGACCACTTACATTTCAGTCTGTTCACACAAATCATATCACTTGGTATGCAGCATGCAAAGTACATCGACTACTCTTATTCTTTTAATCTAGCACTTGCCAGTCACTGGTGGTTAGAAGTTTTTGACATATAACAATGAAATGTATTATTTATTGTTTCTTTTTACATGACACCAACAGTTCAGAAAGATTTACATTTTCAGCCCTTAAACAATCCAGCACTGGTGTAAAATCCTCACCGGACACAAAAACAGGCCTTTAAAACTTCCCATCTATTACGCTAATGGTGCTCAGGGACTCGAAGATGTCCCTCATTGAACAGTGTGTGGGAGTGAATGCAGGAACAGTGAGGCTGCTGGCAGAGTGTGCTGTTGTTTAATTGGCTATAAAGCAGAGATAAATGAAGAAAGGAGGATATTTACACCAGCAGTGATGGGGGTCTACCTGGTCTTTGCAACGAGAGTGTTAGAAAAAAGGAACCGACGGAGACAGAAAGAAATGTTTGTGCATGCATCTCCTGACAAGCTTCACAACAGCTTTGATAATTTCTGTGCTTTTTCTGCTGTTCTTGCAGAAACTCAGCAAAGGCTCTCTAAGATAATGTGCCTGGCACTCGTAGGGTCTCTGAGATATTATGTGAAGCAAAACACACACACTCTCAACTCACTTGTTGATGAGAACAATATCAGGAAGCCACACTTTTCCTGAAGAGATCCGCAATACATCAACTCCTCCATAATCTTTGGGATTCCAGGAGAGGCGATAATCATTCCACTCCTGCAAGAGCACAAAAGGTGAGTGTTTAAGTGGAGATAAACTAGGGTCATCCTCCAAATTATAAGTACACACAGTTCATTATTTAATCAAATGTACCGGCTTGTGTTATTAACTCTACAAAACCTAATATCTCCATACACATTATCAGCGCCATTTGCATAATTTTTCATTTTGCATCCCAAGTTATGCTATATTGATCCGTGTTGACTTACCAAGTTCATCATAACAATGGTGTTCATCTCCTCATCTTTCATGTTCTAAAGCACAAAACACAAAAAAACAAAAACAAAACATAGAACAAAGTGTTTAGAACAGTGGTCTCAAACTCATTTGCTGGAGTGCCGCAGCTCTGCATAGTTTATCTGCAACCACCTCCAACTTACACCTGCTTAATAGTCTCTAGTAGTCTTGAACACCTTAATTAGTTGGATCAGTTGGGTTTGATAGTGTTGAAGCAAAACTGTGGAGAGCTGCGGCCCTTCAGGAATCGAGTTTGAGACCTATGGTTTAGAGCAGCGTTTCTCAACCTTGTTCCCAGAGGACCACCAGCTCTGCACATTTTCCAGAGCTGCGTCCCAAATCGCATACTTATGCACTATTCTACGCCATTTTGTAGTATAAATAGTGTAAGTAGTGTGTTCACACTGAAAACTCTAAAAATAATAAGTGCACTTTAATTACCCGGATGATGCACTCATTCAGCCGCTAAAATGAAGTGTGTAATGATGGACACTTCACGCACTCAAGGACCGCAGGTTTGCTTACGTAGCGAAAGGGGCGGAGCTATCGGACGCACATGTTGAATAACTTTATTTATTTTGGATTGTGAAAGCAAAATTCTCCCACAAGAGTGATAATAGCGTCTCCCGATGGTGAATGCGGCAATACTCGCGGCAGGTATTATTTGATAATTCGGTCGTTTATTTCACTGATTTGGCAACCGTCAAACGTCATCAGGGAAACGGTTTGAATTTCCGCTTAGTAAAAAAACATTAGTGTGCCATTTGGGACGCCACTACATACATGTACTATCCTGTTGAGTGTGTAAGTGCATAAGTACATAGTGCATGAGTGCATAGTGTATAGTGTGCAATTTGGGACGCAGCTAAGGTCTTCTCAACTAAACACACCTGACTCAGATCATCAGCTCATTGGAAGAGACTGAAAGACCAGTAATAAGGGTGACAAACAAAGGAGACATCCAAAACATGCAGTGTCTGTGGTCCTCCAGGAACATGGTAGAGAAACACTGGTTTAGAGGATCAATATCCCACATTCAAGAGATGATTGGCTGATCATAACTGATATTCTTCCATAAACAGTATCTTTAGCATCTTTTCTCTGTTGAACACAAAATAAGATATTATAAAGTACAGAATGTCAGAAACTGGCAGCCATTGGTTACTTACAATTTAGAAAAAGTACTTTTTTGGGTTACTTTTAATTCCGCCAGTGGGAATTGTTTCAAAGACATATAAAAAGTGTTAGTCTGTCTGGCCTCTTTTTTAGCAGCACCGGCTTCAGAAGTACTTTCCCATTCATTTTCTCAAAGGGATATATATTTAAAAGTCTTTGATAATGTGTTACACCGCATGAACTAAACTAACCTGAGGTGAAGCACAACATCCTAAAATTTTTGATTTTGAAGTACATGAAAGTCAGACAAAAAGGCAGAAGACTTTGAACTTAAAGGCTTTAATGAGGGGAAAATTACAATCTTTGTATTTCTGAAAACTTGTGCATGGCACAGTCAAATCACAAAATGATGGATTCATATCAATCTAGGTGTTTAAAGTTGTTATTTGTCTCTACAGACACAATAAAGATCAACTTTAATGCAGCATGGAGAACTGTATTTCTATTTATTTCAATACATTTGGCTGGAATAAATGTTTTTCAAATTTGTAGGGTCAAAACTTTTATCTTTAATTTTTTTTTTTTTCAAATAGACAGAACAAACCACTGTTGTCAAAGGCTTGCCTAAATAACTTGCTTGGGTAACAATATTAACGTAGTTAAACTTTTAAAGGGGACCTATAAAAGTCACATTTATAAGAGGTAAAACACAGTTGTGTGTCTGTCTGAATATAACCAGCTTGTGATGGCAAATATTTATTAGTTTTATTTTTTATAAACACACTTGATGAAAAAAAAAGTCTGCAGAAACACTTTGATTGACATTCTCTCTTTTTACATGTCATCAGAGGGCAAAAGCCCCTCCCCTTATTGACAATCTCACTCTAGTACTTTAGTCTTGTTTTTGGATCTGCCATTATGCTAAAACATAGGCATTTGTAGCTCCGCCCTCTTATAAAAAAAGCTAAATGCCATTCGAGTTTAAAGCTACAGTCCCAAAAATGGCACAACAGAAATAAAAGCCTAAAAGTGTCAATTTCAAAGAGTTCTTAAACATTATTTGTGAGCTAGAAATTCACATACACACTCTAAGGGCATCAGAGGCTTATTTTTAATCTTTTTAAAATGGGGCATAATAGGTCCTCTATAAATTCCACTTTAAGCTGAATATTAGTATCTTGCTAAATAAATAAATTATTACGCCATCATCATGGCAAAAAACTAGAAAATAGAAAAATAAACCATTTATTACAAATTAGTAATTAAAACTATTGTTTTGTGCATTTTTTTTGGAATGTATTGTTATGTGTTACAGATTGTGATAAAAAAAATTGAGTCAACACAAAAAATGGGACCCCTATCTGAATTGGTAAAAGAAGGTGATAGTGCCAGACTGGGGCTGCGTATTTCATTTGATATTTCTGCTCAGAATTGTGTAAAAACAAATCTGCAGATTTACGTGGAATGGTTTAAGACTATATGTGCTCAAACCCTACACAATAACTACTTATCATATATTTATGGTTTAGAACACAGATCCAATTGGAAGAACTTGTTTGGTAAACAAAACTACAGTAGCTTTCTCATGTAATACATTGCCTAAAAGACTTTTATTTCATAACATAAATTAAATTAATCTGAAAACTGAATAAATATATATATTTACACACACTTAAACAAGTGAATAAACACATTGAATGATGGGCTTTAAAATCTGCGGGCACAGACTCTATGTGGGCCTATTGATGGGCTATGAGTAGCAGACAAGGAAAAGACCTGAGAGTCAATGGTTAGATCAGAATCCAGTCCTGAAAGCTATTTAAAACTAGCGTAGGAATGTCAGCTGTCCCAGTCTCCGTACAGAGTACAAACACTGGGGGATGGGTCACACACACTTCATATTATTAATATGTGCTTCAACGCTGAATACAGTTATGTCGTGTGCTACATGAATGTTTTCTCAATGTGTTTTGTTTTGACAACATGGGGTTTTCTGGAGTAAAATTCATGTGAAATTACAGTTTATAAAGCCTGTAGAAACAGTCATGTTCCTTTCCGCTTTGAATAATAAAAAGACGATATTGAGAAAGAAAAGTAAAAAAAGAAACATAAACTTGGAGACATCAATGAGAATGCAGATCTGTTTGTGCAGTGTTACCTGAGACCTGCTCATTAAATCCTTGTGTTAGGAAGTGATGGATAGTATTGCCTGATTCACATGCCAAATTCACACAGTGAACAGCTGAACCAACCATCAGACTTGTTTCTTATTTGCCTACATAGAAATGGGGCTGTTTTCCTTTGGCAAACAGATTCTAACTAAATTTTTCTGTATTTCTTAAATGGGGTCATACCATTTCTTAGTTTTATGAATTATTATCATATTTTTTGTTATTATTAAGGTCATGTTATTTATGATTTCAGTTTTATTATATTTTTGTGTCATTAATTTTGATTGTATCAGAGCCTTTACAAACAAACTGCAGTTCAAAATGCTTTACAATAAAACACAAATACACCAAATACAACAGGGCACCATGTGGTGTAATAAAAAGTTATTAATCATAGTTATTATTATTAAATATATATTTTTTTTACAATATATGCTGTTTTATAAAGGCAGTTCACCCAAAAACTTTAATTCTGTCATCATTAACTCACCCTTGACTTGTTCCATACATGTTAAAATACATACATTTTAACTTTATTTCCTCTGCTGAACACATAAGAAGATATCAAAAAGAAGGAAAGCTGGAAACCTGTAACCATTGACTTCCATGATTCATTTGTATTCACCATAACACAAAGGTTTGGAACCACTTGAGAGTAAGTAAACTGTACATTTTGTACTATCCCTTTAAAGTATCTGTACTGATGTTATATACATATATGTGTGTGTTTGTATATTCATACCAGGCTGACGAACGATGAAAGTATCATGCCTATCCTCACAACAACCCTTTCTTCTGGGTTCCTTGCAGGCCGAACTTTACTGTTGTATGCAGAAAACAGTTTCTTCATCAGCTTATCTTCCATTTCGGTTGCACCTACAGGAAACATGTTGCTCTTATTTGTTTTGCAAAGCAGATGTACACAACCCTAATTTCAATACTCTTAGGATTAAAAGCCTGCAGTCTAAAACCTGGTCAGTAACACTTTATGTTAAGTGGCCTTAACTAATATGTACTTGCATCAAAATATAAATGCAATGTGCTTACTGTGTTGATAATGTTTTGCAGAACACTAGTGGTGCTCTTGAGGTAGGATATGGGTAGGGTTAGGGACAGGACATGTTAAGATGTAAGAGATGGTCAACAGTGTAATTAAAGATGTAAACTCAAAAAAATATGTATTTATTTAATAAGTAGCTATTTAAATATATAACTTTTTTTAAAGTTTAAAAGCTGAAACAACACAGTTTTTGAGGATTTTTTAGGTACAACTTAATTGTTTTATGTTCAATCAATTTAAAAAGCATTAATAAGGTTAAATTATTCAATGCGAGTTGAGATGAGAAATTTAAACTTTCAGAACATAATGCAATGTCTGCAGAAGCTGTTTTTGGAGGAGACAAGCAGACATTATCACTGTGTTTGCCCTGGCACAGTACGTGATCCACAGACACACACACACGGATGAACATTATGAAAACGATAGTTTGTTGTGCAGTTGGTGGTTCGTTATTTTTGTACAATTGCATTCATATCAAAGTGAATCGGACCAGTGTTCGTGCGAACCGTACCCTAGACCAGGGGTTTCCAAACTTTTCAGTCCGCGACCCCCAAAATAACAATGTCAGTGACTCGCGACCCCCATTTTTTAAGGTGATTATACTGTAAATATATAAATGTTGCAGACACAACTGTACAGGAATTTCTAAACATGAGCATATTGACAACACAAAAATGCAACAGTCTATTAAGCATATAATGTTTTTTATAGTTATTTATTAATTTAATTAAATTTTAATATAAAAATTAAAGGCTGATGGCTGATTTTTATTTGTATGTTGTTGTTTATTTAACGCAACGATTAACTATCTTCTGTGGCTTATGAATAAAATATGGTAATTCAAATAGTTTAATAAAATTTATTTGAGTTTTGGAAATCACTAAGTGACCCCTTGCCATTGTCCCGCAATCCCCCGGGGGGTCCCGACGCCCACTTTGAGAACCACTGCCCTAGACCACCTCTTTTAGTCAGACTCAGGTACGGTTCACAGCAGCGCACCCGAGTTCAGAAGACAGTGATCACACTAGCTAAACAAACTAAACTCTGATGTCAAACAGACCCAGGCGCGGACCAAAAGTGCTAGTGTGAAAGTGCTCTAAGAGACTTCAAAATGTACGACACATAATAGACAAATATGATATTATTAAACCTTTGAGTTTAAGTAAAAAAAAACAAAGCAAATGTATTTAAATGTCTACTTGATAAAATCATGTTGGACCAACTCAATTTCATTTAATTGTGTAAATAGTTTTTTTTTTAGTTGGTGCTACACAAATTGATTGGATGGGAGTCCTGCCCTTAATTAAATTGAGCTCACCCAATGAGTTTTTTTTTTTTTTTTTTGAGAAGAGTTAAGGCCACTTAATATAAAGTGGGATCACCTCGTCTTGTGCACAGTGTAGTTTACAGTCTAATCTTTGTACACAGCTCAGTGTTCTGATGGATGGATGGATGGATTGATGGCTAGAGCTGCAGATTTGAACTTTGATCATAAAGGCTCGCAGATAAGAGACTCAGCCTTGGGTGTTCTTGGACCTGCATCATGCACAGTTTGAGGGTGATTGTTTACTCCACCTGCCCGCCTGTCGCTGATGCTTTTATGCATCGCGTCTGCTGTTTTTTTCTCCACAGCTTTCGAAGGTTAGGCACATTTATATGCAGGCCTTCTAGGGGCGCCACATTCATCAAGTCTCGCCAGCACAAGCCCTCCAGAATACGAACTGACAGTAACAAATGACACACGTCACCCCACACGCCACCTTCATTACCAGCCACCACCACCAACGGCTGCTGCTTTGAGTGTATGCACACATTCACAGCGGTTTTACTGAGGTTTTTGACCAACGCTTCTTGTGGGTAATAACTTCAAGCAGCTTTTATTGAGAAAAGAAACCCCAATGCTTTTAAAGGCAGCATCATGGGAGACTGTAAGGGAAATAAGAAATCTTTATTTTTCCTGCATGAGCGTTTAAATTGCAAAATAAATGAGGCCTTACGGAGAAAATGCCATCTGGTGCTCAGCAGTCCCATTGAAAGCTTCCCTAAAATAATTACCGCAATTAACCTCTTTCAAACACCTTTAAATCAACTTTAATATAAAGAGTTACTGATGATAGTCTGACTCGAGGTATTTATAAAACAATGTTTTACTTTTGTACCATTTTCACTCAAGTGGTAAATTTGGATAGATTTGAATACCTGCTTTTTAGATTTTTATTTCGCCAACTATTCCAGCAATCTTTTTTTGCACAGCGGATGCATTTCCAGCCGCTACCCATTACTGGGAAACCCCCATACACTCTCACATTCACACACAGACTCATACGCAGTAGGCATGGGACGATAATCATTTTCAAGGTTTACCATGGTTTGTAAAAGTCAAGGTTTCAAAACCGCTAAAATGTTGTTATACCGTTCCAATTATCAGGGCTTGACATTAACACCCACCAACCCAAATGTGGGTAGATTTCAGCTGTGGCAAGTTAGACAGCCACTTCCGCTAGCCACTTTGGCTTATTGAAAATTATTTTTTAAATTGCTAGTGCTGGCTCAACACTAAAGATTACAATGTTAGTTTGTTTGTCAATATGTGTGCAAATGTGATCTTAGAACCGAGAAGCACGACAGACAAAAACACTGGTGATCTTCGCTTACTTATGAGGGCTGAAGTGTCATGCACACTGCTGCTGGGATGCGCACGAGTGTTATAAAAGCTTGCACACTCTCGTTTTCTTGCGTGAAGCAACCATGCCTGAAAACGCAACAGGTACGATTGGTTCCATTTAAGACTTTAGACTAGGAAAAATATGATGCTTGTGCACCTACAGTCCTGCTACTATTGAGAGATTGAGGTTCTTTGTAAACAGCAGCAGTTACCCATTTAGCTTAAACCATTCTTTGAACATATTATTAATGGGGCATTAAAAAGTGCACGCGATCATCCTTTCATTATCGCACACAGAATGTTTTTCACTTGCTTTCTTTTGCTTACAGAACATAAAACAAAATTTAAGTCAAGTAATTTTAGCATGCCAAAGTTAAATTTACAGATATAAAATATATTTTCCCAACAGCAAAATTGTGGCTTCTGAAAACGGCAAGTGGCTAATAACATTGGAAAACTACTAGCCACAGTGATTGGTGATCAAAACAGTTAATTTCAAGCCCTGTCTATGATATGGACGTTTCTTTTTTTATGTATTTTATATGACTATTTTATTTCGTTTTTTTTTTAGGGCAACAGAATCTCTTGCAGAAGGGGACCCTCCATATCAATAGCTACTGATTAGTCCACGATTCAGCAAACATCTGGAAAACAAATCACTTAGAATATACAAAAAACATCCAAACATTTTATAGAAGTCAAAAGTGCAGTGGCTTTCCTTAAGATCTAAAGAAAATTTTACCCAATTCACTTATACTGCATCTCTTTGGACTGTGGGGAAAACCAGAGCACATGAACATGGGGAGAACATGCAAACACAACACAGAAATGCCAACTGGCCCAGCCGAAACTCAAATCAGCGACCATTTGCGGTGAGGCGACAGTGCTAACCACTGTGCCACCCATACGTGTACGTTTACTCATTTTAAAACAATTTAAGCATGAAAATGTTCATTTGTTCACTCTAAAGCGTGTTCAGTTTTGGAGATTTGTTTAGTCCAGACCAATTGGTGAAATGATTATGTTTTATGTGCATATAATGTCATTTTCAGACTACAAATTGTGTAAAGAGTCCAAACACTGCCAATAATTCCTCCATCATACACAAACTGTACAGATTGGCTGCAAGGAGATGCTTTTCTGACTGCTGTATTAGAAAAGACAAAAATTGTAAATGAATTCATATCATGCTTAGACATTAACAAAATATATGAAGAACAGTAATGTAGGCTGCAGATTTAATTTAAAAGTTAAATTCACCCAAAAATGAAAATGATGTTATTAATTACCCTCAAGTTGCTTCAATCGTCTGAGATCAAAGTCCAGAAAAACACCAAAAAACTAAAATTATGACTTTATTTAACAGTTTCTTCTCTTCAGTTTCAGTATATGAGTGCCTTGTGTGACTCCCTCTGTTTTTGGTATTGTTTTCTTGACTTTGAATGAGCCAGGACCTTTGCTGTCACTGGGGGATAAAAAAGCTCTCAGATTTCATCTAAAATATCTTAATTTGTGTTCTGAAAATGAATGAAGGTTTTGGAGAGGCATGAGGGTGAAAGTAATAATATCATTTTCATTTTTGGGGTGAACCCTTAAAGAGTATTCAACGTATTTTGTTAAAAGATGATCCATTAGTTTGTTATATGACTTTGTTCTTTGATCGTTGAGATAAATTGTGAGATATTCAATAATTGTATACATAAATGTTACTTACAATACACTAAAGCTGGCACACTGACAAATTTGTCAGTATGGCTTACATGATACTGCAGTTGACCTTTTAACACAGGGGTGAGTAAAAGTAGTTTAGCTACCTCTGTCATGTTAAGATCTCTATTTATTATATAGTATATGATATACTGTAAAACAATGTCCTATAATTCTGATCTGATTCAACAACTGCCCACCAATTGAATCTAACTAGCTGATTAATTTAATAAAACAAGCTGATTATACCTGTTAAAAGCTACTAAAAACTGTGTATTAAAATTAACAAAACATATTGAAATTACATTTTACCCCACATGAAATAAATCTAGTAATTTATACCAAATAGTAATATTATAGTCTGAAATATTATAAAGAGTGTATTATATTGTATACATTATAGTATTCTTTACAACATTTTTTGATGAATGACACTGAATAATGTAGTATTAACTACCATGAACTGATAAACTGCAAAAAAAAAATAAATAAATAAATAAAAAATCTGCATGGTATACCTAATATAGATTTTTTATTATTGCAGCAAACGGTGGTTTATTGTATTATAATATATAAATTAATATTAGTAGTATTATAATATAAAAAAATACAACAGTATTTACTACACATTACATATTTTTCATTTGGGATATTTTAACTGCATTAGGAACTCAATTAGTTAAAGACATTTATAAATATTAACAATGGTGGCTTATATTTCAAAACACCAAACATGTTTTGTTTTTGTAGTAAAACCACGGTAACCACTTATTACAACCCATGCTTTTCATACACTAGCCAAACTACTGAATGTGTGGTAACTGTGGATATACAACTGGCTAATAAAACAGTGACTACATTTGATTACTATTAAAAAAACAAGTAGGAGCTCTGGTAGTGGATGAAACGTAGTTAAAAAGTTAGACTGTGAAACGAGTGACATCTTTTGTAAAACGTCCTAAGGATAATGTTTGAAAATATTAACATTTTTGATGACTTGTTTGGAAACTGATACTCCAATTGGCAACTTAATGTTAACGCTACGTGTGAAAACTAGCAAACGATTTCATTTTGAACTAATAAAGATGACTACATGGAAGTAATGCTCTATATTGACCTTTTTCAAACTCCTGTGGTGTTTGGACGTCAAAATATGGATTTACTGTCGGAGAATCATATCAAAGCACGCGTGACGTTTCTTTAAAGTTCACAGGGCTTTCACACGTGCGCGTTTCACACACACATTAATCTTTCACTTACCTGTCATTGCGCCCAGGCCACAAAGGCAGCAGGTGACAATAATCCAGTCCTGGGCCTTCATGGTGATTCACCAAATGAAACTACCGTAATTTCTTCATAGAATGTTTACTTGAGGGTCCATTCCCTTTTTTCCCAGCGCACACACAGTTGGCCTTAAGTCAGACCGCTGTCTATGCTCAGGTTACAAAGCGCGCTGCTGTGCGCGCGCACGCATGAGACTTCGGTTCACGCGCACACACTAAATAAAAATGTTTCACTAAATCACAGGATAAAAATATCTCATTTCTGTTTTAGAACTAAGCAAAGAGAAGAAATAAAGAGCCTCATATAACGTTCCGTAAATAATCATGAATTAATCCTAGGCCTAGATACATTGCTATTTTTAAATGGGTAATTTATCTATTTTTATTAATATTTCATGTTTTTATAAACCCAAAATGTGTTAATTAATTGAACATGGATTAAAGATAGATTATTTGCTTTCAAATGACATTAAAAATTAATAATGCCTTGATGCCTATCATATAGGTTTAAAAAATAAGTTAAAAAAAAACTAGTTTTCTATCGCAAATCCATATGCACATACACTAAAAGAGAACATACATTTACATGCATGTACTTTTAAATGTAAATTTGATCCCATGATGTTTGAGTTTTTGAAAGCACCCACTGTCTGACACATTAAAAAGTAAGAACATTTAGAACTGCTTCCTACAGGTCGACACAGTCAGTCTTCCCCAAATGTGCTTTTTAAATGAGGCAAAGTATTGGAATGTGCTTGAAAGCACGCCAGCATATTCATACAGTTCTGGGGTACTTTTGGCTCAAGAGGAGTAATATTAATGTGCTGTACTTTTATGTAATTCATCAGAGCTGTTAAAATGAATTATGAAGCTTTATCCCACCAATTAGATTAAAGGATGAGATTTATTCTGCTACTCTAGAGTGTTGACACTTTGATGGGCCTTTTGAAATCGGAGGTCAGGAGATTGCTTAAGTTTTCCTCCACAGTTAGCTGGATAAAAGATGGAAACGGCTCTTTAGCAAAGCTTGCTTTTGCTTGGGAACAAAGCAAAAGACACTTGAAACACATGCCACCTGTCTTCCTTTCTTCTTTACTCGACCACTCCTGTCGAAACGTGCTGTACTTAGGTAATGGCGCCAGCCCGCCACATTCATTGTTTGGTCTTCTGCCAATTTAATCATTATAGAAGTCAACTTAACAGCCTATAACTAATGCTGACTTGACTGTAAAACCTCAGATTGAATGGCAAACTCTGGTACTTACCTGAGGGCCAATTAAAATGCTTTACTTTAAATAAGGACACTGAATGGCTGTTATCACAAAATATGTTTATATATGTAACTGAGGCCAGCGGGTATTAGCTGTTTGAGGTAAATTTAGTTCCTTGGGCCCTGAAAGCACACTAGTAAACGGCTAGATTTTAGCACCTTTGTTAGCGCACCCACCTTCCATGCAAGAAACATAAGCTGCCTTCAGAAGTTTAGGAAGCTGACTTGTTGCCTCACTGCCATATCAGGCAGTGTTTTGCAGGCAGTGTTTGTGTATGAAGGCACTTCACAAAAAAATTATTTCAAGCAGACATCTGAGACTGAAATAAATATTGAATTATTCATTCATTCATTTTCTTTTTGGCTTAGTCCTTTTGTTATTTTGGGGTTGCCACAGCGGAATAAACCACCAACTTACGTTGTGTTTTACACAGCGGATGCCTTTCCAGCAGCAACCCGTATCTGGGAAACATACCGACACACTCATTCACACACATACACTATGGACAATTTAGCCTAATACTAAGCCTGATACTAAGTTGACCAGTTACAGAACTTGTGCTGTGTGTTGTTCAAGGTGTAGGTACAGTTTTGGGGAGGTGCACGTCAGCCATGACGAGGAGTATGTGACCAAGCGAGGCCTCAGCACAGAAGTATAAATCAGTCTTAAGGGAATATTTGTTTCCTGCTCTGGAATTCATCCTTTGCCTTATTTTACACCTTTCAGACACAGCCTTAGATTCAAATCCCACTTGAAACAGTGCAAGAAGCCAAAGGGGTTTCTGGTGCCATGACCCAGATGAAAGTAAAGAGTGTGAGTGTAATGGAGTCCCTTGGCCTCAGGGGGCACACTAGTGACTTGTGTTGGAGGCAGCATTGTTTGCATTGTAGCATATTTGTTAGTATGCCCAACCCCCATGCTGGAAACACAGGTGGAACACTTGGAGCAATGCTAATAGATTCATAGGGGTTACACATGCTGTAATACTTGTGAATCAGAATGCATTTCATTCAAATTTATTCATAATGCGAGGTGTGCATGCTAACAAGGTTGCTAAACACTACAGCTTTCAGCAAGCTTGCAAGAGCCTGTCATTAAATGTTATTTGAACTCCTTCTTTAAGTGAGTCAAGTAGAACCAGAGGGATAACATTGGTGCCATGACCTAAATGAGAGTGAGGCTTAGATGTGTAAGGGTTAAGCATGTCAGCTACTAAGAGCTCTGCTTGTAACCCTTACTTTCTGACCTTACAGAATGCACTAGCAACTGATGCTTATGACTGCAGTCATTTGGCTCCAATGTGATAAAAAGTTCAGTTTATAACCTGTTCAGAAAAAAAACAAATTCAACCAAAAATGTATCTAGTGCTGTAAACTGGTCTTGGCTTGCTTGTAGCATTGTTTTCGGTTGATTTTTGGAAAGATGCATTTGGACCACACTTGGGCCATAATTCCACGCGGTATGTGGGCCGAAGTCACTACCGTATCTCAGCCATATCTGGCCCAGATCCAATATGCTATCTGGGTGTGGAAGTAGTTAAGATCAGTCCCCTGGCCTCAGGAGGAACACTAGTGACTAGCACTAGAGCAGGGGTGTCAAACTCAATTCCTGGAGGGCCTGAAGCCCTGCACAGTTTAGTTCCAACCTTGCTCCAACACACTTATCTGTAGGTTTCAAACAAGCCTAAAGGACTCAATTAGTTTGATCAGGTGTGTTTAATTAGGGTTGGAACTAAACTGTGCAGAGCTGCGGCCTTTTTGGAACAGAGTTTGACACCTGTGCACTAGAGGCTGCAGTTTTTAGCATCTGTGTTAGGTCCCACATCCAATGCCAAAAAGGTTCAAAATCTACATGGGGATGTGTGGGAAGATTCACAAGGGTTACGTGAACAGAATGAATTTAATCAGAGTATGCTAGTATAAGAGGCACATGATAATAAGGGTGCTAATCAGTGTGGTCTTTAACATTTTTGTTAGCTCGACTGGAGTGGCGCCGTGGGTAGCAATGTCACCTCACAGCAAGAAGGTCGCTGGTTCGAGCCTCTGTTGGGTCAGTGGCATTTCTGTGTGGAGTTTGCAAGTTCTTCCCATGTTCACATGGTTCCCTCCAGGTGCTCCGGTTTCCCCCACAAAACCAAAAACATGCACTATAGGTGAATTGTGTAAGCTAAAATTGTCTGTAGTGTATGTGTATAAATGAGAGTGTATGGGTGTTTCCTAGTGATGAGTTGCAGCATGAAATGCATCCGCTATGTTAAACATGTGCTGGATAAAGTAGTTGGTAGTTCATTCCATTAGTTAGTTGGTAGTTGGTGGTTCATTCCGCTTTGACAACCCTTTATTAATAAAGGGACTAAGCTGAAAAGAAATTGAATGAATGAACGCTAGCCTGACTGCCACCCCAGAATTGCTAGCCTGAGTCCTGCTCAAAGTGTAAAACCTTTGACCTGGATGGAAGAGAGGTTTATTCCGTAAGTAAAGCAAGTCAACCTGACTTTCCTGGCCACAAGAGATGAACTAATGGCTGATGTTACAGACTGCGGTCTTTAAAATTCTTGTTTGTGTGCTGCCTTCTATGCCATAAATGCCTATTTGAATAATTTTTGGAGAGCAGTAGGTAGAACTGTAGAACTGGTTTACATTGGTGCTGTGAACCAGAGTGGAGTGAGTTTCAAGTGAGTGAGAGTGAGAATAACAGAAGCCCACTGTAAGACCTGTGTGAGTCAGCCTTACTCTCCTGCCCTCAAGAGACACCTTGGCAACTGATGATAGAAACTGTGCTCCTTAGCATCCTTGTTAGTATACCCACATCCCATGGGATCACATGCCACTTTAATTGTGCAAGTAAAATTGTAGGGGTTTCAAATCCCAAATATGGAAAATCCTATTACCTTAATACCCTTAATATCCTAGTTAGTTCGCCCACATCCCTTGCTGAAAATGATGGTTTGAATACTGCTTGGAGTGGGATGATTTAAACCAGAGGTTACACTGGTGCTATACAATGGTGAGATTAAAGGCCAAGACACAATAAGACAAAGGCTGGCCATTGTCAGAGTTGGTCTGACTAAATGGTTTGTTGTTTTCCACACATCACCTCTTTTCCAGTTTATGTCAGATCCCATTTGCCTAATTCAGCATTTAGAATCGTCATCAGGTGTCTGCTGAAGAGAACACTGCTTGGTTATTCAGCAAAGAATCAGAGTGCGAAAACAAACACTGAAGTGACGTAGCAAGTAAACAATTCAAGTCAAGAAGGAACTTAAAGTGACCAGCTGTAATTTCGCTACATTTTTCTTTCCTTTTTGTCGGATGAGGAAGAAGATTACTTCCACCCATGGGTGTGGAAAGACAAATCCTCTTCTTCAGGTGAATCAGCCGACTTTTGGTGTGTGGTGTGTTCACTTGCATCTTTTTGGTCCAGATGGGTCTAGATGCAAGCTGTGACATCCTATGAACTAGGAGTTTGTCTGGGGGGATGAGGGTTGGCTCCGCCTTTATTTAATTGCTATAGAAAACACCCGTCATTTGCTGCTCTGGACCTGTTCAAATCCAATGGCTGGCATTTGGAAGAAGGGCTGCTGCTTTGGACTGGACTTTTTTGCTTCATTTTGTTATATTCAATTATTTTGTACATCCAACATGGCTACACTACATTACATATTCATGCATACACCTACACCTGAAACACCACTGAATCCTGACTCCTACATTTATACAATTTTGCTTTAGGTTGTTTAAAACCGTATCTTTAATAAATTATATTTT